AAGGGTAAAAAAAAACCCCCCCTTCCAGAGAAGCGGTGAAAAGGGCCGTTCGGAACCACTCCCGACGGAACACATACCCAGCCAGCTGGGGCGGGCGGACGGGCGGGCGGGCTTGAATCGCATGGTGTACATGTTCGGCTGCGGGTACCGGTTGCGTTTCCCGGCGGGTGGGAATTTGTTCGCTTTCTCCGCCGATTACTGGCTGCTTGGTTCGGTGTGACGGGGTCGAACAGCAGGGGGTGAGTGCACCAGGGGGGGCCGTCGGAAAAGAGGAGAGGAGAAGCGCGCTTCACACGCGCGTGTGTTGTTGCTGGGTGGGGCGGCGCACGCACACACGGTATGGATGCACATACGTCAGTCGTCGTAGGCTTCTTTGCTTTTTTTCTCCCTCTCTCTCGTTCATCATTAGTATGTAAGCGGAAGAAGGACAAAGCAAAGAAAGAAAAATTGGTGGAAGAGAGAGGATAAGCCAGGCGTCTGCACGTTAAAGAAAAAAAAATTAGTTAGAAATACCCTACCTTATTACGCGGAGGAAAGGTCACTTGAAAGGCAATCCTTCCGTCGCCTCGTCGACTAGCGAACCTGAGAAGGAAAGGACAAAAGAAACAGTCAAGGTAATTGGTTTCCAATGCAGCGGTTTTTGGTACTCTCTGATGTGACTTATGCTGGGCATCGACGTCGTGTGACCATAGGCGAATCACTATCTTGCATCCTTCGCTAGCCATTCTTGGCCATGCTATTTATGCATTCTACGAAAAGAAAACAGAGCGAGGGAGAGGGAGAGACAGAGGAGGGGAGAGACAGCGACGAAGAGACTGAGACACAGAACGAGAAAGCGGAAGCGAATGTTAAATAATAATGAGCCATTCATCAATCGTGCTGCCGGATCAAGCCCCCGAAGCCTTCCTTTCTCTTCTGGGTTACAAAAATAACAGCGGAGCGAAAGAAAAAAAAAAATTTCAGGGTATGACGAGGACCACAGCCGCAGTGATAGCACCGGGATATTAGTGTTTGATCTACGCGATGGACCAGGTTCAAAACAAGTTTGCCAGCCCGGATCTCGCCGGGGAAAACGAGCGTCTCGGATTCGGCTGGAGAGAGAGGTAGCCCCGAATAATGCAGCCAGGGTTCGCCGACGATTCCTTATCGTGTATGAGGATGGCACAACGCCGCCGGAGAGTACATGTCGAATTACACTGCAACAGCATACTCTACGGCCGACTATCTAAACATACATGGAGAAAGTGGAGTTTGCAGAAAGCCCCAACGTGGGTGATGCCGGATGGCGGGTTAGAGTGCGAATGATTCCTTCCTACAATATATGAGCAACGATGAAAAACGACGAAGCCACCCTTCCATGCCATCTACCAAAACCCGCACGCTCCTCGCTCTTTGAACACCAGAACATGACCTTTAGTATAAGACGAAACAAAAAAAAAAGAAATTGACAAGTGAAAACGCCCGGCACCCCGGCCCTCCACCAGCAGTTCTCTCTGCGAAGTAAAACTCCATGCTGTTTCCCATTTTAATGATTTCCCATCCTTCTCGCCTCACAACCACCGTATTTCCCCCCCTCTCCTCTCCCGCCCCCCAGCATGCGCGAGCTCTTTTTGTCCCGATTCTTCCAAGTCTTGAGCGCACATGCCCTGCTCTTCCTCGCTGCTTCCGCACCTTCCGCCCAATAGCATCAAATGTTGAATTTCCACACCCTCCGAGTTTCCAGTCTCCATGTCGCCGAACGAGTTGAGAAAAAACAGAAGCGCCGCCGCCCAGAGAAAGCGAGAGTGTGTGTGTGTTTGTGTGTTTCCAGGCAGCGCGCAACGTCAGCGATCGTCGTCTAGGTCGTGATGTAGCCTCCGCTTTTTGAAAGGGAGGGCATACGATGAACCAAGGGAGGGGGGTGGGGAGTGACGGGGTGGTGGCGGTGCGGGCATCAGGTCTCCTGCTTCTTCTTCTCGGTCTCCCGCCGTCCCTTCCCCCCTCCTTCTCTTTCAACAAGCACGGCCTAGCAGCAAAAATCGTCACTTGCTCCACACGCGGCTGTGGGCCACGAGCGCCCAGTCGATGTCGCGCCACAGCTTGTACTTTTCCTTGATCGGGTCGTCGAACAGGCTGTCCAGCTCGCGGCGCCACACCTCCTCGCGCCCGCGGCTGCGGCCCTCGCAGTACTCGCGCTCGGGCGGGCTGTACCCCGCCGTCTCCCAGTCCAGGATGCCCGTGATGCGCAGCGTCTTGGGGTCGACCATGATGTTGACCGGCTGCAGGTCGCCGTGCGTGAAGACCTTCTCGTCCGACTCGTCCTCGGCCCGGATGCGCGCCACCAGCGGCTCGTCGGCGTCGCTGAGCTCGCCCGTCGTGCGGCTGTTGCGCAGCGCCTCGACCACGCCCTCGTTGTACTCGGCCCGGCTGCTGAACGGGCCGTACGTCTTCTGCTCGCCGGGGCTGGCCAGACACAGGTGCTTGAAGACGATGTCTTCGCACGGCCCGCCCGGCCCGCTGCCGGGCTCGATGGCCGGCGCCTGCGGCTGCGGCGGGGGAGAGGCGTCGCCGGGGTGCGGGCTGTACGCATCGGAGCCGGCGCTGCTGCTGCCGGTGCTGCCGCGGTGGTGGTGGTGCGGGTTGCTCTGATCGCCGTAGTTGGCGACGCTGCTGCCGCCGCCCAGGCTGCCGTACCAACTGCCCTTGAGCTCGCGCCACTGTTCGATGAAGCCGCGCAGCTGCTCGACGATGGAGACGCGCTTCTCGGCGTCCAGACGGTCCCATAGCTCGCTGAGAGGCCGGCCCTCAATCTTCTCCATCAGAATGAAACCTAGATCGTCTTTCATGAAGCTCTGGTAGATCTCGGGCACGGGCACGTTTGGCAGCCTCGTCTTCAGGAAGCGCATGGCCTCGGCCTCGGCCATTCGCACTGTCGGACCCTTCTTCAGGATGGCGTTTGCCGACGGCAGGTAGAAGATGCGCGGGCCCAGCTTCTCCGGGAAGAGGTCCACCGCGTTCTCCGGTATCAGCGGGACATCCTCAGACAGAAGGCGCCATGGCCGACGGGGCACCCGGCTTCTGCAAGTATGCAACGTCCGTTAGGTTCATGCTTGTAAATGTTGGAGAGGGGGCAGTGGTGTTGATGACGCAACAAGTGGGGCTTGAAACGTGGAGGGGCAGGCTGGGGGTCGGGGGGTGCGAACGTGTGTGCGTGTGCGCCTGTGTGGCAGTCGAGCGGTGGAGGCAGGAGACTGTCGCAGCGGCGCAACGCCCACGTCGAACCCGGGGGCTGGGTGCTGGGTGGTGTAGAGAGTGTGTTCAGCGGGACAATCACAAGCATACCTTGGGGGATGTGCTGGTGCTGTTGCAACCATGACGACTTTTTTTTTCTTCTTAGCCAGCGACGAAAGCAATGCGCACGTCTGCGTCGGTGCCTGTTGGTGCCTACGTTGGCGGCGGCGGCGGCGGCTGCTGCTATTGATTGTTGCTCTTCCGGCTCTTCTTCAGCGACGAGATCAGACCCTTTGCGGCGGAACCCGGCCAGCGGCGCGGCTCAGACTGACTCGACTTTGGCTCAAGTCGAACCCAGCGGAAGGGATGGAGAGGAAGAGACGGGGACCGGCGTCTGGCGGCGGTCGGTAGGAGCACGACGGGCAAAGGGTAGGAAGGTGGACTGCTGCGTCTTGGCCTGCTTGGAGCGCCGAAGTTTCCGAAGGAGGACCGGCGGTGGGCGACGGATGGGAGCAGTAGCCGTTCCTGGCAACGGATGCTTGGGTTGGGGGGTGTGAGAGCGTGTGGGGGTTCGCAAGGCTAGAAGAGGGGAGGAGTCGAGGCGGCGCGGCACGACGGGAAGCGGTTTGGTCTCCTGCAGGGTCTTTTTCGCAGTTGCTCAGCTGGTCTCCTGATCCCTGTCAGTCCCGGCCCTTTCTCAACCTAAATTTTTTGCTGGCGGCAGGCGGGCACGAGGGAGGCCGTTGTGGGAGCCGCGTTGCTGACGTCGGTGGCGCGTCGTGACCAGCTGTGATCCCAGAGGCTAGCAGGTCAGGGGTGGGCGCGGGAAGGATCTTTTGCGGTCAGGTCGAAAGAAGCGTCGGGCTGCAAGAAGACGAGACGAGGCGCCCACGCGGCCGAATAGCCTGCGTTGAGCCGTCCTGCCCCGCCGGCACGAAAGCAAAAGACGCTCGGATCCGACATGCGACCATCCTTGCCCCATGCGGCAGGGATCTCTGCCAGACTTCTATCCAGACTGCCGGGTACTGCTTGTGGAAAGCTAAAATCAACCTTGACATTCGCAGCAGACTGAGGCCGTTCAGATGTCTGCGGGCCGGCCTGGCCTCCCATAGAACTCCACGAGCGCCCCCAGATGCGTCTACCAAACCACTCAAGATATACAGCTGCTCCCGACCGCCTGTGTCCGGTCACCTGACGATCCGCCGAGACACTACACCGACTTCCTCCCCGCCTTTTTCTTGCCCTTCGGCCCGGCCCCGGCCTCCCCGTTGGCCTGTTTTGCCTCTGCCTTTCCTGTTTTGGCTGCTGCCTTGCTTTCCTTTTTGCTTGCCTTGTCGCCCTTTGAGCTCTTGTCCTTGCTCTCCCGACCCGACTTGACCTCCTTCACTTCCTTCACTTCCTTTTTCTTCGCCTCCTCGCTCACCTGCGCCGTCCCCTCCGTCTTCTCCTCGCCCTCTTCCGACGCCTCCTCGCCCGCCTTCTCGCCCGCCTTCTTCGCCTTTTTGCCAAACACCGCCTTCGGATCCTTACCCTTCCTCCTCATCCGGGACTTGATGTTCCTTTCGATGAGCTTCTGGTCCTCCTCGTCATCCCAGCCGCCAAACTCGTCTTCCGTCTCCTTGCCGCTCTCATCCGTCGTGATCGGCGTCTTATCCGCAATCTCCGTCTCATCGTTCTTCTGCTTAGGCTGGTACGACCTGGTGCTAGCGTTGGTCGCGCTAACAGCGTTGGCCGGTGTCGGGCCGATCTTCTTGAACTTGGCAACGAAGAAACCGTCCACGTTGTAGGCGTGCGGGTAGTAGCGGCGCGTTTCCTTGAGGCTTGGGTGGAACTGACGTCCCTGGAAGCTGACGAAGCCCTCCTTGCCGAAAGTGAGGCCGGTCGACACGAGCTTAACGTTCGGCCGCTTCTCCAGCGCATACTGCACAACACGCTCGTTCTCGTCCACCGTGACCGAGCACGTCGAGTAGACAATGTAGCCGCCGGTTTTTGAGCCGTGGTCGACACTGTCGATGGCATGGAGAAGAAGCTGCTTCTGCAAGTGGGGCAGACGCATGAAGTCCAGCTCCGTCTTGTTGGTCTTGACGCTAGCGTCCTTGGCGATGACACCAGTTCCCGAGCAGGGAGCATCGAGCAGGACTCGGTCGAAGCCACCAATCACTCTGGGAAACTCCATGGCGTCGTAGTGGCAGACAATGGTGTTCTTGACCCCCAGACGGTGAATGTTACCAATCAGACCCTTCGCACGGTCCTTGTTCGCATCGTTGGCGAAAATGCAACCCGTGTTCTTCATGAGCGCTGCCATGTGTGTTGTCTTACCACCAGGAGCAGAGGCCATATCGAGAACGCGCTCGTTCTCCTGGGGCGCAAGGGCCATGACGGGGAGGAAGGAGGACGCGGCTTGCAGGATGTAGTGGCCGGCGAGGTACTCAGGGGTGGCACCAATGGGAACCTGCGACTCGAAGATCTGGAGACCGACCTTGGACCACTTGCCGACTGGCTCAAGCGTCACGCCACGGTTGATGAGGGCCTGGGCAAGTTGGCGACGGTGGGAGCGAAGAGTGTTTGTCCTAATCACGACGGGACGGGGAGTCTCGTTGGCTTCGAAGAATGCGAAAGCCTCGCTCGGGGGAAACAGATGCCAGAGCTTGTCCGCCATGTACGGCGAGTATCCGTAGTAGGCACAAATATCCTTGAGCACCTGAGCCGTGTACTCCGCTCTCGACCTTCCGGGCTCGGCCAGACTCTTGAAATCGTTCAGAACCCGAATGGTGTCGGTGATGCGAGTCCGCAGGAGCTGGAGATCAGGCGCAACGCGCGGGCCGCCCTCTTCGTCGTCGCTGTCCTCAGCGTCGCCCAGGATTTTGGGGCGGTCGCCGGCAATGTTGGTCTGCATGGCAGCCTCCTCCAGTTCCGCCTGCGCCTCGGCCTCCTCCTGCGCCTTTTGCATATCGAGCCTCCGCGACAAGCCTTCGATGTTGGCAGCGGTGAGCCTCTCCTCGGCATCCTCGTCGTCGTCCTCATCCTCCGACCACATGGCTTGCTTGCCGGGCATATCTTCGTCCGAGTCGACGACGTCGTCCGAGTCCTCGTCCAAGAAATCGTCGTCGGAAGGCATTTCGTCCGAGTTGATGAGCTCATCCAGCCCGGTGACATCCTCATCCTCCCACATTTCCTCATCCTCATCTTCAGACTCCGGCTCGGGCGCCTTCTTGGATTTTTTGCTCACGCCGTTGGCCTTGGCCTTCTCCTTGACAGCGGGAGCCGCCTTGCCATTGGTCTTGGGCTTCGCATCCTCCTTCGCTTTCTTTGTCGGCTTCGCCGAGACGGCGTCGCCAGAGGTCCTGCGCTTCTTGGGCTTGCCGTTTTGTTGGGTGGTAGGCTGGGCTTCGGGGGCGTCCTTGCGCTTGCGGGTAACGAGAGATTCGTCGAGCGGGGCGGGTACACCCTGCTTTTTCATGCGACGACTGGGACCCATGTTTGCGGTGGGAGGGGAAGTTGAAGCGGGAGAAAAAGTGCGAGCAAACAGCAGCAAAAGTCGCACCGGCAGAGCTTCCAGATCGCAAAAAATCCGGGTTGCAGTCCGTGCGGTGCGGCAGAATTTCGCTCACCGCCCCGGATCGCTCGAGCGTCGCGCCAGGCCAGGATAGCATCATCACCCAATTGCGCCAACCTTGAGCTCCTCCCCCGCTCTCTCTCTCTCTCGCTCTCGCGCGCACTTGTCCCTCCCTCAACTCCCACCATTGCCATACCCACCTCAAGGCCCGGCGGCATTCTTCTTCACCATGACGGAACTATCCTTCGCGAAACAGTTCCTCACCGCGCTCGAAGCGCGCCCCGCCCGCCTCTCCAGCGACCATGTCGTAGACCCCAAGAGCTACCCAGCCCAGCCGGCCGTACGTCCACCATACCCCCCCTCTCCAATCACCACCCTAGCCCTACCCAAAAGCAAAGAGTGACAAACACGAAAAAAAAACTAAGCTCACCCATACTAACTCTCCCACCCACCCACACCAGTTCATCCTCCCACGCATGCCCCAACCCAAGCGCAAACCCACCGACTCCCGCACCGCCGACTCCACCACCACCACCGACCAACCCGCCCCCGCCTCCGCCCCCGAAGCCAGCAGCACCTCCGCCCTCGCAACCGTCACGCTCAAGCCCACGCGCTCCACCCTCCCAACCCACACCCTCCCCCACCCCGTCTCCACCGCCACGACCTCGATCCACGACCTCAAAGCCGCGTACGCCGCCTTCGCCGCCGGCAGCGGCGGCCTCTCCACGACCAAGATCAAGATCCTCCACGCCAAAAAGCCCGTCAACGACACCAAGACGATCTCAGACGTCCTGGGGAGCGATGCCGCGAGCGCAACAGGGACGACACCCATCTCCGTCGAGTTCAGCGTCATGGTGCTGGGCGGGTCCGGCACGACGCCGACAACCGGCGGCAACGGCACGCCCGCCATCTCGACGCCCGAACGGCTCGCGAGCCCGCCCGTCGCCGTGCCCGCGGTCGCACCGCCGCCAACAGAACCAGTAACAGAACCAGTAACAGAACCACCGACAGGATCAACAGAAGCATTGCTTCCCCCTTCGCAGCCGGAGATCGAGATGGGCGAAGCGCCGCCGGTGGGGGGCGAGGCGGACGGATCGTCGGCGGAAGAGACGCTGCGGACGGACGGGTTCTGGGACGACTTGAAGGGGTTCTTGGTGCAGCGGCTGAAGGACGAGGGCGAGGGGGAGAGGCTGGCGGGGGTGTTTAGGGAGGCGTGGGCTGGGGCTGGGGCCCAGAAGTGAAGGAAGGGAGTGTGTGTGTGTAGTCAATGTGAGACGGGACCGGGACCGGGAGGGGGGTTTTTTTTTTCTCTTCCCCCTTTGAGAAAGATTTCTCCGTTCGAGCGGTGTTGATTATGATGATGGTGGTGGTGGTGGGTAAAAAAAAAAAGACCGAGAGCGGATATATGCTTGACAGTATACAATTACGGGCGCGTCCATGCATACATATTCCTTGTTTTTGGTGGTGTGTATTAGCAGTCTGAGACTTCCCTCCGTGGGACCAAGTGGTATTATCAGGTCACAGAGCAGTGGCAGTCGTCCTCGATGAAAGACAGATACATACATGCATGCAGGTATAATAGCCCGACCAAACGAAGCACGTGCATTACATATCTTTCGAGAAGATGTATGATGGAAAGAAGAAGCGAGCATTTGCCGGAGTAAAGCATTTTCCTTCTATCATCCCAAAAACTTGTGTGCTATCAGGGCAAGGGCAGGGCAGCAGGCCGCAGCAGCGGGTTAAGCAGCAGCAGCGTGCGTGTATGGACTGCACGCAAAAAAAAGGAACAACATCAGCACACGCCGCCCTTTCTCCCCTCCCCCACCTGCGCGACCATCCTTTCCCCGCCGCGACTGAGGGTATTCAACTGCTACCACACCACCCAGCCGCCCTCCGCTCGTGAATGCTTCCAGAGAAAAAAACAAACAAGGGGCTGTTTGCGCTCAGTTTTGCTGCTATTAAGAAAAGATTGGGTGAACCCCCATCCCCCCCGATCGAAAAGGGAAACAAGGGGCCGTTTTTGGCACCTTTTCCCCGGCGAGCTTAGAAGCGGCCCTTGGAAACCTTCTCGATGATGGACTCGTACTCGATGTCAGCCTCGTCGTTGGCCTGGATATCGATGGCGATTCCAGTAAGTGCGCGCTTGATAGCATCCTTGGAGGAAGAGTAAACCATCTTGGGCTGTACATTGGTCACGCGATGGTTAGCGCTGGGGCTTCATTTTCATAACAAGAAAGGACCGTTCGTAGATCTGCTTACCCAGGGAGCAAGGTTGTCGGGAATCCAGGAGAGGAAGGTGATCTTGTTCCTGTTTTGGTCCATTAGCAATCGTTGGCGCTCAGAGAGAGAAGGATGCATGAGGGAGGGCGAGATGTTAAAATCAGAGAAAAAAAAATTAGAACGTACCTCAGACCCTCGCCGTAGGAGCCGGCGGCCGCGTCGTACATGACATCGTAGACGGCGTACCGCGCGCCGGGGCCCTCCTTGCCCGCCTTGTTCTTGGTCTTGGAGTTGATCAGGTACTCGCGGAAGGCGTTCCACTGCGCCTCTTCGCTCTCCTCAGACTTGGGCTCGGTTTTCTCGATGACAATCTCCTTTCCGTTGTCCGCGATCTGGTAGACGATCCACTTGATCTCCTTGCCCAGCTTGAGCTCGTTGAACTTGCTGACGCAGTCCGGGGAGACTGAGACACTAGAGGGAGCACGCGGGGCGCCAAGTCAGCAGCGAAGAAGCGAAAAAAAAGCGGTGGGCGGCTTTTCCATCTCGGGGGAAGCGCCATCAATGATGGCGGCATGGGCAGCAGCGTGGACGCGTCTGCTGTTGGGGACGTCGCGTGCGTGGGGCCAGGGCTGCGTGGACAGCGAGCGGCGGCCGGGGGCGCGCGAGTGAGGTGCTGAGGGGGAGGGGGAGGGGTAGGGGCAGGAATCACTAACCCGGAGGAGGCCTGCAGCGCGCGGGGCAAATTAGCATCGCGACGTCGACGACGGCACTGCGACGGGCACTTACCATTGCGTCGGTGATGTGAAGTGGTGAAGTCGAAGACGGGAGACTGTCGGCGGAAGGAAACTTGTCAGCACCGTCGTCAGCGCATGTAGGTAGCGGGCGGACGGGCAGCCAGGCGGTGGCGTCATGCGCGTTGGCGGGCGTCGAGCAGGCGGGCGGGCGACTTACAGCGAGGAATGGAGCGTGCGAAAGCGCTTTGGAAAGTGCGGCGGAGGGGAATGGGAAGTGCGGTGGTGGGTGGATGCAAGACGGTGTTGCGGGCTGGAAGGAAGTTGTTTGGGTAGAGGGGCAGAGAGCGGCCAGCTAGTGGGGACTGGAGATTGAGCCACTTTGACAGCCCTGTGCCGTGCAAGCACCCACCGCTGGTCTGCCGCGTCGTAAACAGTGCTTGCCGCGCCCGACGCCCAGCGCTCTCCCTCCAGGCTACAATGCATTGTTGGCGCCTAACGCCCTCCGGCCGCTGTTGGCCTGCGAGTGCCGTCGCGCGCCAGCCATCGACGCCGGCCTTACACTTCCACGCCGGAACGGGAGCCGCGGCTTCAATGCGCCACGCGTGCGCGACTCCATTGCCCCTCGAAGCCTCTGTTGAGGCGCGTCCGCCCGGTGCCCCGTTGCCCACTCCTGAGCAGCGCCAATCGTCAGATCAGGGTCCTCCGCTGTCGAAGGCTCCTCGCTCGTCTGTTCCCGCGCTGGATGCCGCCCGCCTGCGAGCCCCACGTTATGCAGATGACATCACCCGCCAATGCCGTACAACTGCCCGATCCATCCCGAATCATCCCACCCGGCAGCCAACTTGACAATAATATTGACTGGGTAGACGCTTTCACCCACAACCTGGGACAGCTGAGTGGTGCAACAGCCGTTGCCTGAACTTGACGCGTGTCGTGCCGTGTCTGTTTGCGCCCGTCAGAATCCTGCCGTCCTTCATTCATCGCTGCCTGCTTCCTCCTACTATGCTTGATTGGTGGATCACGCGTGCCCAGTGCATCGATATCACATCGTCCTTCATCATTTGCAAGTGCTGCTGATGTACGTCGTCACTCAACTTTCATTGTTATTTTTTAGGGGTCGTTCGTCGCTGTGTAGATACAATATCATACAAATAAAATTCCCTCGCCCCGCCATGCCCGGATGTAGCCAGAAACAATGATTTTTATGAGAGCGGAGATGAGGCGCCAATAACTAACACAAGTATCGAGAAGGTAGAGGTAGTAGACAGCGGGTATACAGGGTGACGGAGGAACGGAGAATCGCTTTTTCTTTTCTTTTTTGGTGCATTTCCTTTACAGCGGCGAAGCAGTCTAGAACATGCCACCGCCCATGCCACCCATACCACCCATGCCGCCACCCATGGGGGCAGCAGGGGCCTTGTCCTCGGGAGCGTCGACGATGGCGACCTCGGTGGTGCCGAGCAGCGAGGCAACACCGCTGGCGTCAACGAGGGCGGTCCTGGTGACCTTGAAGGGGTCGAGAATACCGGCCTGGATCATGTCGACGTACTCGCCCTTGGCGCTGTCGTAACCCTTGGTGAAGTCCTTGCCGAACTCGTCCATGAGCTTGCCAACGATGACGCTGCCCTCGGCACCCGCGTTCTCGACAATGGAGCGGGTGGGCTTGGTGATGGCATTCTTGACAATCGAGATGCCGAGCTGCTGATCGAAGTTGGCGAAGGGGACGTTGTTCAGAGCGTTGGAGGCAGCCTTCAGGAGAGCGGTACCACCGCCGGGAAGGATACCCTCCTCAACGGCAGCGCGGGTGGCGTTCAGCGCGTCGACGATACGGTCCTTCTTCTCGCCGACCTCGACCTCGGAGGCGCCGCCAACCTTGATGACAGCGACACCGCCAGAGAGCTTGGCAAGACGCTCCTGGAGCTTCTCCTTCTCGTAATCGGAGGTGGTGGGGTCGTTCATGACACCGCGGATCTGCTCGCAACGCTGAGTGACGGCATCCTTGGTTCCCTCGCCGTTGAGGATGACCGTGTCCTCCTTGGTGATGGTGATGGAGCCGGTGGAACCGAGCTGGTCGGGGGTGAGGCGGTCGAGCTTGATGTCAAGCTCGTCGGTGAAAACGGTACCGTTGGTAAGGACACCGAGATCGCCAAGGATGGACTTGCGGTTGTCACCGAAGCCAGGAGCCTTGACGGCGGCAACCTGGAGCTGGCCGCGGAGCTTGTTCAGAATGCAGACAGCCAGGGCCTCGCCGTCAATGTCCTCGGCAATGATGATGAGGGGACGGCGGAGCTGCTGCGAGGCCTCAAGAGCGGGAACGATGTCCTGGACGGCCGAGATCTTCTTCTCAGAGAGGAGGATGAGGGGCTTCTCAAACTCGACCTTCTGAGCCTTGGGGTCGGTGATGAAGTAGGGCGAGATGTAGCCACGGTCGAACTTCATGCCCTCGGTGATCTCGAGCTCGTCCTCAATGGTCTTGCCCTCCTTGACAGTGATGACACCCTCCTTGCCGACCTTCTCCATGGCGTTGGAGAGGAGCTGGCCAATGTGGGTGTCGCCGTTGGCGGAGATGGTGGCAACCTGGGAAATCTCCTCGCTTGTGGTGACATCCCTCTTGTTGGCGCGCAGGTACTCGACGACGGCCTCGACAGAGGCCTGGATGCCTCTCCTCAGGTCCATGGGGTTGCAACCAGCCGCGACGTTCTTGACGGTCTCGGAGAAGATGGCGCGGGCCAAGACAGTGGCGGTGGTGGTGCCGTCACCAGCGACCTCGTTGGTCTTGGAAGCGACATCCTGGATGAGGCGAGCACCGAGGTTCTCGAACTTGTCCTTCAGCACGATCGACTTGGCGACAGTCACACCGTCTGCTTTCCGTCAGCAATGGCCGGATGTATCCGCGGCTCGTTCGAGAGCTTACCCTTGGTGATCTTGGGCGAGCCGTAGCTCTGGTCGATGATGACATTGCGGCCCTTGGGGCCGAGAGTGGTGGAGACGGCCTTGGCGAGGGTCTCGACACCGTTGAGCAGAGCAGCGCGGCCTTCAACGCCAAACTTGAGTTCCTGTCGGTTGAGGCCGGGTTAGCGGGAGTGGCGGCGACATTGGGAGGGCGCAGAGAGGCGGCAGCAGATCAATGGATTCGTACCTTGTGGGCGAAACGCTGCTGGGTCAGGTTGAAGCTCCGCGAGGCCAGAGTCGAGGCGGCCGAAGCGCGCGCGCGCGAGGCAATCATGCGCTGCATTGTGGATGGCGGAGAGAATATGTGGCGGCGAAACGGAAGAGATGACACACAACTACACCCAAGCCTGAAGCTCCTGGACGCCGAGCTTAAATATGAGAGGGGCAAGGCGAAGAAGAGATGGTGATTGCGAGGAAGCGTGGTGTTGATGAAGGCAGGAAAATCTTCAGAAGCAGCTAGAAACATTGTAAGAGAGGGTTGGCCCGAGCGCTAAGCCGAGCTTCGTGGGCGATCCGCGCTAGCTGCTCCGACTCGGACGCCTGCCACGATCCATTGCCAATGCCATCCGCCCAGCAGCAGCCACCGCGCCCTGCTTTCGTCGTGGCCGGGTCACCCGTGCAGATGAGCATCCAGTCCTGACGAAAGAGCCAGCAAGTTTGAGACGCTGCAAATCTCGTCCTCGGCGTCTTGTCACTCACGCCGATGGCCGGAAGGGCTGCCGGCGCCTACCTCGGCCTTAACTCGCCTCTCCACACCCGCATTGACCTTTGGCTTGCTAACAGACTTCACCCAATGGAAGCGCGCAGAATTCTCTCGATCATCTCAGCTTCTCCAGTCCCCGTCCCCAGCTTCCACCGCCTTCCCCGTCAAACCTCCTTCTTCCCGAGGATCACTTACCCTTCCGCATCCCACTACATGTCACTTCCATTGCGTGAGCAAAAGTTTGGTGCCGAAGCTTTTTATCATTCTTTAGTCTATGAAATTAATCGCATACAAGGGCCCAATGTCGCCAGCTCGTTCATTCCAACCTGCGTTGAATCCAGCAGGATGCCAACCCCAATGGTGGTGGCAGAGATTGCCGTAACGAGGCCTGGAAAAGATGCCGAGGGATATGGGGCCTTGTGTAAGAAGAAGAGAAAAAAGAGAAAAAAAGAAAAGAAACCATGCCAAATCTCCGTTCCTGTCGACCCGTTGGAGCGGCTCTACCAGTACTGTCAAGATGTAGGCCAATTGGTGTGAAAGAAAACAAAAAGAAATCAGAGGAATCGATCTTGTCTTCAAGATCCTTTGGAAATTCAAAGTCCTGTGGGAAAGGTGCCGAAATACGTCCTGGATCATGTCCCAAGTCTGGTGTAAAAAGTCGGCTGCCCAGATCATCCAGAGAGGCCCAATGGATCCTAGGCTATAGCGGCTCCTTCGTCCTGATGGGAAAGTCAAGGAAATCCATTCTGTTGGGATGGAAAAAGCAAAGAAAGAAAGAAAAAGGCCCGTAGAAATCATCTACCGGCTCTCATGAAAAAGCAAGTTGAATTCCGGAGAAGCATAAAAAGAAAATTCCTTGGATCTCGCACTTTTTGGTGGTGATTCAGTCCTGGTAGTCCTGGATATTCTCCTTGTCACTATCGGGGTCGGCCGGACGCGGCCGGGCAGGCGTGACGCGAGAGCCTTGGACGGTGCTACCAAAGGATTCCTGTGTAGAGCGGCTAAAGGAATCGGTGTTCGTGTCCTGCGAACCAAGCTGCAGGTTCTGCTCATCCTCCGGCTCTTCGCTCAGGCGTCCCAAGTTCTGGAACGGCATGCGACTACTACCCGTGTAGAGTCTAGGGAAAACAGCTTCAGTGGGGCTGATGAAGTCACCACCGGTAGTGAAGTTCCAAACGGATTCATTGACGCCAGAAGACGGGCTAACATGGCGAGAGTTGTGCTCAGAGCTGGCGCGGGCGGGAACCGTGGAAGGAAAGCTGTGACCGGTTAAGACCTGCGGGGAGATGCCGGTGTCCATCTCAGGCTCTTGAGACTGCGATGCAGACCTCTGGCGCTCGGCCTCTGTCGGCTGGGTGCCAACTTGGGCATCGTTCTGCCACGGGGATGGCATCTGCTGGTCCGTCATGTGCTGGTTTGTCATCTGCTGACCTCCCATCTGCAAAAGGTTGTTGTTGAAAGCATTCTGCTGCATGTTGCTCATCTGTGCGTAAGCGGTCATCATCTGCTGCATGTAAAAGTGATGCATGATCGGCGGAATCGGCACGTTGCCCATCGGCATACCGCCATAGCTGTTCTGATATGAACCTGGCATCGTGCACGTGAGTCCACCTGCTCCTCCCGGCATTCCAACGGGAGGCTGGCCCTGAGATAGGGTGGAACCTTGGCCGGGAACGTTAGCAACCGGCTGCGTCGCAGTCGATTCGACGGGACCAGACTCTGGGATCTGGCTGAGCGACGGCCTGCGCGAACCCGACCGGCGCATGAACTCGGACTGGCGGCGTTTCGGAGTCGGCGTAGACGGCGGAAGGCCGATCTCATCACTCGATCTCTTCCTGAGATGGCTCAGGCTATGTTTTTGGAGTTCGCTGCTGCTTCGGCTACGCGGGGCCGGGGGGCACTCTTCCGGAGTCCGCAATCGTCTAGGAGGTGTTTGAGGATTAGGGTAGAATAGTGACGTCTCCATTGGTGTGTCAGGGTCCTGGTTGGGCCCCGGGCGGGCAGCCGACACATCCAGGTCAGTATGGCGGCCATCGGTGTCAGTCTGTAGACGGCTGACGTCGGTTGAAGGGCGCGATTGAACATCCGTGTTCATGCCGGTGACGGACTGGAGGGTTACGGCAGAGAGTGAGTCAGCGGAAACACCGTCAACCCATTCGGCGATTCTCCTCTCCGAGGTGTGATGACCCCCTTCGGATGCATCGCAAATCTCCATAGCTGACCCTTCGAACTGCTCAGGCGAGTCGATCGGCCTGATGGACATGCGATCATGCTCGAAGAACTGAACAACGAAGCGCCGTTAGGCATATCAAAGAAAGGAGCATGCGCTGACTTACATTCAAATCTGTCACCGTCCTCTCATCGTCATCATCGTCGGCCTCAGCCTCTGCGGCTTCCTTCTGAATTGGAGCAGAAGACCCGCCTAGGTTCTTGGCATTGCGGACTTGGGCAGCCTCGGACAAGAGACCCTGCAGCTCAAGGAGACATTCATTGCGAGACTTCCCTTTGCCGGGACGCGGCGGGGGCACAGGCAAGCCCTCCTTGACCCTCTTCACACGGAGCTTGGACACAGCCTGCTTGAATGCCTCGCCAGTGGCGCCCGGCTGGACAATTGCGGCTACCTCTTCCCAAGGAAGATCGACACCGTCGGCTTCGAGTGCAAAGATCATGGCAAGCAGAGTATGAGCGTACATCTCATCTAAAAGTCATTAGCTTGTCGCGAAAAATGGTGAAGGTTGTGCCCTACGTACCGGTCCACCTGATCAGTTCACGTTTGGCAGAGCGGTTTATCGTACAGTAAGGCAGACAACGAAGTGCACGGTCGCCTGTGGCATCAGGTTGCCCATTGGACAATCTGCGCTCCATGTCTCGATGAGCCTTCCTCAGTGCACGAAGAACTTGCTCAGAGCTCTCAGGAGCTTGCTCAGATCTCTCAGGAGCTTGCTCAGTCCCCTTAGGAGCCTGCTGAGAGATGTAAGGTGTCTTGCGTGCGGTGAATCGACCCATCTTTGGGCCAGGCTTGGCCTTTGGAGTAGCTTGAATCGTGTTCCGACGCCTCTTTGCAGGACCAACCTCATCATCGCTTTCACCGTCGGCATCGGCGTCGGCGTCAAGGTCCTCGTCGCCTTCGTCGGCGTCAAAGTCCTCGTCACCTTCGTCGTCATCGAAGTCTTCATCGTCTTCGTCGTCCTCATCATCTTCATCGTCTCCTTCGTCTCCTTCGTCTCCTTCGTCTCCTTCGTCTTCTTCGTCGTCATCTTCAAAGTTGTCAGCGTCAGAGAGAGCATCCATGTCTTGGTCTTCCTGATTGGGCTCTTCATCGTCGAGTCGATCGATCATGTCAGTGTCAACAGGGTTGTTCTCGTGGCTGACACTGGTCTCATGCGAATGATTCGCCACGGCCAAGTCATGGCGCACAGCTAGAGCGGCGAGTTAGCTCATAATGGGATCAGGGTATCCAAACTGCCGAACTGTGGATGGATACTTACCAGGTTGTTTGACACGCCCCATCTTGCCTTCTCCAAATGGACGACAAGCTCGGCGTGACAAAACGGACAAGAGTCGAGATGTGGTAGCGTCTTTCTTGGTAACTTCTCTTGCCGCAACCTCTACCCACAGTAGAGCACTCGTGCGAAGTCAAGAGTAGGAAGAACAGTCGGGGGAAGGTTGCGTCGCGTCCACGGTCGGACGTCGCCTTGAGTCTGCGACGAGGTCTTGTCAGCTAATGAAGGAGCGCAAAAACGAAGTGGATCTCATGAAGAAGTAAGTGACGCGTTGACTGTGGGTAGGGTGGATGGGTTTTGCGTGGCGCGAGGGTGTCGCCGGCAAGTGTGCGCCAGCAGGCGTTGGTCGGAGCTGCGGACATGCAACCGCAACCATGCTAGCAACCCAAGTGACCTGTGACAGGCCGATAGATGCAAGGGCAAGTGAGGCAACGGTGAAGGTGAGCCTGTGCAGCGCAAGGCAGCGGCCGACACAACAGCGGGTGTCCGACGCCGGACGCATGGTGGTGCGTAACGGCGTCACGGTCGGCGCCGGCTGTGCACGATCGCTCTGCGCGAAACATAGAAGTAGGGTTGAAGACTCACTCTGAAGAAGAAAGCGCCTCGTCGCAACGAGTGCTGGTTGCTGGAACGCTGCGAAGCGGGAGCGCGCGGTAAGATGGAAGTGGTTGTTGGGGTGAGGAGGGTCGGTGAAGCGGGATGAGCAACAACAGATATATAAGACGCGACGCGACGAGCGGGCGGAGCGCGTGCCCGCGCGCAAATGGAAGCTGCGCACTGCACTGTAGTATGCACTACGTCATACTCCCCCCAGTATGCGTGACGGGTCTGTAAACAAACCCGGCGCGTTCGCATACACAGGCGTCGGTGCCAGCCAGAAGCAGCAGCAGCCTCGACGGATGATGGCTCCAGCGGCCGCGCGCGGTCCGCAGATATGTGGGTGTGTAGATTATGCCTCTTGGTGCCCTGGCCACCGTCTCTGTGTTTTCTGGGGCAGTACGCTCCCGCAGTCATGCCTACCAGCAGACCAGCACATTTCGCCATGCTCGCCCACATAGCCTGCTCACCAACAGAAAGGCGCCGACACCAGAAACCTGAACTTGATGCAATACCTGCGCGGGGTATGAGCTTCGGCGCGTCCCTTTTGTGCGGGCTGTATGCTCGACATGCCTCCGCAGCTCTCCCTCCAAAGTTGGTCACTCCCGTCAACACCTTGCAAAGATACTCCGCATACTGGCATACTTTGGGTTGGGCTTCATGTAAGATCCTCGTAAATTCTGCAACGAGTGTCCAGTGCAGCCCCCGATATCGATTCTTGGTCTGCTTTACGATGAATGCCGTGTAGTTTAGTCTTGCGCATCCCACAGACCTTGATCCCATGGCAGTGGCCTCCATGTGAGATTTCATGTAACTGGCCATCTTTAGAGCGAAAATAGCGCGTGGATTACGAATACTGTTTGGAGCCTATGGAGTTGAGCAGCCGCATGTCGTTGTGCAGCTACGCGGCCAGGACAAACTTTGGCCAGCGAAGGCTTGGACGGACTCGCATTTTCCTGGAACACCAAGTGCCATGTCCGCTCTTGCCCACTCGTCCTTGCACGATCGAAACTTCAATGATCCGACTCGGACTGAGGTCGGGTGGGTTTCCGCTTCATCGATGCCATTCCACCCGGTGCTGTTGGCATCTCCGTTTGACTCTTGACCGACTTCCCTCAAGTTTTGGATGATTGCTACTTCTTTGTCTCGTTCTGTCCACCAAGGCTTGCTGCGTCACTAGGGCATAACGCCGGAAACAATCTGACAATGGCTTGCACCCCCTCCGCAAGCGCAAAAGCATTGTATAGTACAAACACAGCGCAATCCCGGAGTAAACTGCCGGGGATGCGAGTGAGCTGACAAGGTCGTTCCCAACTCACAGGGTGGTCGATGTCCTGGCGGTGAAACCGGGAATTGGGAGCCCGGCCAACGTTTTTCTCCCCGGCTTCCTATTCAGGCGATCCAGTCTTGTCGTCCGGATCCAGATCCGAGAGCATTCGTAGGAAGCGCCAAGGCTCGAGTCATGTCAGAGCCCGTTGCCGCCGCCAGCCTGGGCTCCCACCTTGGTACACCGCCTGCAATAAAGCGCATGACTCAAATGCCAAGTGGTTGTGCGTGGCTCTCTTTGAAACCACGCCATGCTTCTCCCAGAGCTGGGGTTTGTTCCGTGACTCGCCAGCTGTCGCCGAGAACATGTCTCGCGCGGTTTTGGTCTGGCCAGCATGGGTGTAACAAAACCGACCCCGTTCGGATTATGTCGCCACTGTCTAGTCAGAATATACATACTTCTCGTCTGATCCCCCACCCGACTGCCACAACACGCACCACACGTCAACACCATGACCATGGAGAAAGCGGACATGGTCATTGTCGGCGCCGGTACGCTAGCTCTCTACAAACCATCTATACCGCCTGACTAACATGACTGATCCAGGCTTCGCCGGACTGGCCATGGCACGCACATACCTGAAGCTCAACCCAGACGTCAACCTGCTGATCCTGGACGCGGGGACATCGATCGGCGGGGTGTGGGCGGCAGACCGGCTGTACCCGCACCTCCGCACCATCAGCCAGCTCGGGCACTTTGAGTACAGCGACTTCCCCATGACGGGCCGCCGGTACGGCGTGGCCGAAGGGGAGCACATGAAGGGCGAGGTGATGCAGCAGTACCTGCAAGACTACGCCGACGCCTTCGACCTCACGCGCCGCACCCGCCTCGACGTCGTCGTGCGCGAAGCCGAGGACAAGGGCGCCGCAGGATGGCTGCTCACCACCACCGCTACCACCGACGAATCCACCAACGAACCAACCACCCACCAAATCCTCGCCTCCATCCTCGTCGTCGCCACCGGCCTGACCTCGACCCCGTCCATGCCCTCCTTCCCGGGCCAATCCCACTTCGGCTCCCCCGTCCTCCACAGCCGCGACTTCGGCCGGCACGCATCCTCCATCCTCAACCCCTCCCCTTCCCCCAGCCGCCCCCGCACCATCGCCGTCCTCTCCGGCAACAAATCCGCCTGCGACGTCGTCTACGCCGCGTGCAGCTCCTCCCCCTCCTCCTCCCCGTCCTCCCCACCACCAACGACGATCCACTGGCTCCTCCGCGCAACCGGCCACGGCCCCTGCTGGATGGCGCCGCCGCGCACCGCCCCACCGGCCGACGCCCTCGTCGAAGAGCTCATCACCACGCGCTTCAACACCTGGCTGGCTTCCCCCTGCATCTGGGGCGCGGCCGACGGGTTCGGCGCGGTGCGGCGCGTCGTCAACCGGACGGCGTGGGGGAGGGGAGTGGTGCGGCGGGGGGCGAGAGGGGCGGAGGAAGGGTTGGTGAGGAGGAATTATGGAGGGGGTGGTGATGGGGATGATGTTGGGGGGAAGGAGGTGGCCAAGTTGCGGCCGTGGGGGGAGATGTGGTGGATTGGGACGGGGAGGGGACTGTTGAATTATGGGAGGCCGTGTCTTTTGGATTACGTGCGGGCGGGGAGGGTGAGGGTGCACGTGGCGGATGTGGAGGGGCTGGGGCCGGGGGGCGTGGTGAGGCTGTCGGATGGGGAGGAGCTGGCGGGGGTGGATGCGCTGGTGTGCTGCACGGGGTGGGAGGTGGAGCCGAGCGTGCGGTTCGTCCGCAGGCGTAGGAGTAAGAGTAGTGGTAGTAGTAGTGGTAGCGACGGCGGTGATGATGTTGTCGTCGACGACATGGCGGCCGAGCTGGGCCTGCCGCACGCCTACGACCCGGCCGTCGACGACGACCCCCGCCGAGCGGCCCTCGTCGCCCGCGCGGACGAGGAGATCCTGACGAGCCTGCCGCTGCTGCGCGACCAGCCCGCGCCGGCGACGTGCCCGCCCCGCCACCTCGCGCGCCAGAGCGACGCCGTCAAGGCCGCCGTCGCCAGGAGAAAGGCAGAGGAGCCGCACGCGCTCGACACGCCCCGCGCCCGCGCGTCGGCCTACACCCTCTACCGCTTCATGGTGCCGCCGTCGCGCGGCCGTTGCGGCGCCCCCCGCCGCACCATCGCCTTCATCGGCCAGGCCCGCACCGCCTCCACCGCGCTCATATCGCAAGCACAGGCCCTCTGGCTCTCCGCCTACTTCATGGGCCGGCTGCCGCACCTCAGTAACAGCAACGACGACGATCACGACGAACACGACGACATCGAATACGACGCCGTCCTCCACGCCCGCCAAACCCGCTTCCGCTACCCCCTCGGTTTCGGCCCCCGGATTCCCGACTTCACGTCCGACGCGCTCCCCTACATGGACCTGCTCCTGCACGAGCTGGGGCTGCGGCGGTGGCGGAAGCGATGGACGTTTTCATTCTCGTCGTCGTCGTTGTTTTCGTTTTCGTTTTCCGTGCCAAATTTGTGGAGGGAGGTGTTTGAGTGGTACGGCCCCGTGGACTACCGGGGGTTGGTGGAGGAGTGGGCGGGGAAGGAAGGGGTTCCGGTTCTCGAGGACGGCGGCGTCGTCGATGGCGGCGGGGTTGCGGGAGGGGCGAGGGGAGGGAGGAGAAAGGGGGAGACGGCGGTGCTGCCGCCGTCGATGATGACGGGCGGCTTCTTCCTTGTCACGGCGGTGCTCGGGGCGGTTGCGGCGGCGGCGGGGGTGTGGGTTGGAGTAGGGAGGCGGGAGTCGTAGATGAGAGAGCGCTAGACGAGAGGGAGGACACTTTGTAGTTGAGCTTAGTTACTTTGAGATATTTCCAATTCGGTCCCTTTCTTTTTTTTTCTCCTTCGCTCTCAGTTCCGCAACGCATTGGGATGATTGATCTCTTGAGCCCGTCGCTTTTCTGCATGCCCAATCGCCCACTACCTACGTCTACTACTACGCAGCAATCACATGCGCAGTTCCCTTCACGGCCAACCCACCCTCAGGCGTCTCCGCCCAGAGCTCGTACTTATCCTGGCCATTCGACGACGACGAGTCCGCCTTCCTTCCACACAGCTTGACCGGCTCGTCGCAATACAGCGGGGCCAGGTTGCGATACTGGATCTGGGCGATGCGGCGGCCCGCGGGAATGTTGTTCTGGAGGAGGGTGGCGAGCAGGGTGAAGGAGAGCGGGCCATGGAAGAGGAGATTGCGGTGGCCCTCGACGGTGCGGCAGTAGTGGGGATCGAGGTGGATGGCGTGGGCATTGAACGTGAGGGCGCTGTATCGAAAAAGCAGGGACGGGGTGGGCACGAGGGTGTGCGTGAAGTCAGGCGAATTCTGGGCTGCGTGTAGAAGCAAATCCCACCGTCAGCATGGCACCGAACAGCATGTAACACAACGCGCGCTGCCCGAACCCCGAACCAGAAAATCGAGAATAAAAAAGGGAACAAAAACAAAACCAAAAGAAAAGAACCTACAAAACAGCATCTTCCCCCTCGCCCTCTCCACCTCCACCCTCGCCTCCTCCCTCGTCCTCCCCCTCATGAAAACGATGTTCCTCCTCTCCACCAGCGCCGCCTCCCCCCACTCCTCCTCCCTCTCCGTCCACAGCCTCCTCCTCACCCTCTCTTCCTCCTCCTCCCCGCCCTCCCCGCCGCCCTCCCCCTCCAACGCCCTCCCGATCCTCCTCTCAATCCCCACAAACACCTTCTCCTCCCCCCCGACCCCCTTCACCGCCACGTCCCTGATCCCCTCCACGCACACCCACCTCCGCCCGTCCAGCACCACCGGCCCCGCCACCTTCTTCTCCTCCTCCCCCTTCCCGCCCCCCGCCGCGAACCTCACATACCCCCCCGCCCACATCCGCCGCACGAACGGCTCGCCAGGGCTCTGCAGCGGGTCCGTCCCGTCCGGCAGGAGCTTGTCGGCCGGGATGACGGGGTTGAAGTAGACGAGGTGGTGGGCGGGCGGGAGCTCGAGCTGGCGTTCGTTGTTGCCGCTGCCGCCATTCACGCGCGGCAGGGCGGGGGCGCCGAGCGCGTTGCGGGGGAGGGCGGTGGGGGCGCTGGCGGCGGTCCAGGCGGGCGGGAGGAAGGAGGAGAGGGAGATGCCGAGGGTGTGGGAGGGGCCGGGCGTGAGGTCGCTGTAGATCGGGGGGAGGCGGCGGGCGGGGAGGTCGTGGAGGAGGGGTGCGGTGGCGGAGGTGAGGTGGAGGTGGCGGCGGCGGTGGCGGTGGTCGTTGAGGAGGAGGCGCGCGGAAGAGGGGATCGCGGCGGCGGCGGTGGGGCGGCGGAGGGAGAGGTGGTGGAGCTTGGTTGCCGTCGTAGTCGACATTGTTGTTGTGGTCTTTTGTTCGTATAAGTTGCTACACGCGCGTATGGGAGGTCAATTCATGGCTTGTGGGTGTCAATTGGGTGGGTCGGAGAGAGCTGGGGGCACGGAGGGGTATATAACACAACGGTGCGCGGACTAGCATGTCGTAGCTTGCGAGGTGGAGGTTGCGGGGAAAGGAAGAAAGTTGCCGGTCGGGGAACGATCGAGGACGCCGCCGCGGCACACATGGAAGTCTTCTACTTATTTCCGCGTTATTGCCGAGCTCAACACCCGACATGCTCCAATTCTGGTATGTCGTAGAACACATGATGAGTGCCAGTAGTAGTCGTCTCTTGTCGGACCCCCAGAAGCGAATGGAATGAGGGAAGGAAAAAAAAAAACTTTTGATTCCCGCAACTCTTCCTCTTTCCCAATTCACGTAGCCAACTTGCTCTCCCAGCTGCCCAACCACCGCCAATTCCTCGCCACAGCCCCCAAGTCCCTCAGCGCCGCGTTGACCGCGCCCTCGCGGCCCGCCAGCCGCCTGCCACGGAACTCGACGAAAAAGATATAGTTCCACTTCTCCGCGCCGCTGGGCCGCGTATTAATGCTCGTCAGGTTAAGCTTATACGGCTTGAACACAGCGAGCGAGTCCGCCAGCGCACCCGGGTCATTATGATCAACAGTAAACCCAACCAAACTCTTCCACGCCTCCATATCGGCATCACCATCACCATCACCTTCCCCCTGCTCCCCCCACCCCCTCGGCCTAAACTCCTCCTCCTTCCCCTCCCCCTCGCTCCCCACCCTCCTCCTCAACACAAAAAACCTCGTCGTATTGTCGTCGCGGTCGTTGATCCCCCTCGCCAGCACGTCCAGCCCGTGCAGCCGCGCCGCCGTCGCGCTCGACACGGCGGCGCTGGCGCCGGAGCGGTCCCGCGCGGCTTCCTCGGCGGCGCGCGACGTCGACGAGCAGTCCTGGCGCTCGACGCCGCGCAGGTGCGCGTTGAGGAAGTTCTTGCACTGGCCCCACGCCTGGGGGTGCGAGTACAGCTTCGTGACGGCGCCGAGGTCGGCGAGCGGGCGCGCGCGGGGCTTGGTCGGCGCGGGCGCGTCGGGCGTGGGCGTCGCGACGCCGGAGGTGGAGGCTGGGGAGGAGTGGTGGTGGGGGTTGGGGTGGTGGTCGCCGGTGGTGGTGGTGGTCGTCGTCGTCTCGTCGATGACGAAGTGGGTGGTGGGTTTGGGCGGGGGCGCGAAGCCGAGGAGGCAGTGCTCGATGCGGACGTAGGCTTCGCCGCAGATGAGGATGTCCGGGTAGCGGTCCTTCAGGTCGGCGAAGAGGTCGAGCGTGAAGATGACGGCGCCGTTGGACGAGTTTTCGACGGGCACGACGCCGTAGTGCGCGGTGCCGGCTTGCACCGTGGAGAAGACGTCTTCGATGTTGACGACGGGCTGGAAGGTGTATTCGGACTCGTCAAAGGAGTCGAGCGCGGCCTGTGATGAATTAGTGACAAGTTACTCCAATTGAATATTTCCTAGAGCGATTGGTGACGACACATGTTGAGACGCAAAATTCGTTCAAACGCTTGTCTTGGAAAGAGACGATGGAAAAATATCCAGTATGGATCTCTAAAACAGAAAATCTTCTTCGATGGCAATGGTGCCAGTATAATATCGACGTTCAGATCTCAAAAGGCAAAAATCGGGAAATTTACCTGGTGCGTGTAAGAGGCACTTGGGCCAAGGAATGCGACCGTCTCTTGCTTGACCATGTTGGCAGTCTCTCAGGTGGTGTCTAGAGATGGCTCGCGGCGGGGGCCTGCACGAGAGAAACGATTGGAGGATGAGGGCGTCACTTTACAGGCGCGCGCCCTTCGTGTTGACATCTCCAGCACGGCAGCTCTGGGGAGGCGCTTTGACAATCTCCGCGTCGCCAAAATCTGGCACAACCCGCGCTAGCGACAACGGCGTCTCGTGATAGGTGGGAGAGGCCAAGCACCATGGTTCCACCTCCACACACCGTGCTTCTTGCCTTCACTCAGCACACATGGCGGGCGCTTGGACGAAAATACGGAATGATTGCTACGTAGTATCCGTCCCGCATAGGACTTTGCCATCAACAATCTGGAAATCACGACGCAAATGCACAAAGATCCCCGAATCGGCCACTCAAAAGAGCGATTCTCCGGCCCTCTCGCCTCTGCCTCGTCTCGGATGGATGGCTTGCGCTTCCGCGCGCTGCCTTGCCTTCAAGTCGAGTCCTGCCTCTGTCGGGCTTTTCTCAGCAAGCGGACCTGCCCAGATCACGCACATCTGGCTCTTCCTCACGGCCATCTGGAAACCCTATTAGTTGCGCTCACTCACGCAACAAGCACCGGGACACTTGCCGTTGATCTTCCTGCCGCTCGTTCAAGACTCCCTTTACAACCTGGAGCGGCATGCCGGGACGCCGAAGTGGCCGTCTTCCCGGGGCTCCTGAGCGTCGACACGACGCTCGAAGCGAGGAGCCGTCAGAGCGCCGGGAGTAGCGATCTCTGGACTTGCTACCTCGCTCTCTGCGAGGGTGCAAAACCGTCAATCTAGCATCATGTTAGTCTGTGATTCTTGCCAAGAGGAGTCTCCGAGAATTATTACCGTCGTAGAACTCGTCATCGTCACTGTAATCGGCCAGCTGCTCGAAGTTGACCTTGTAGCGGAGAATGGCGCCGATGCCACCGAAACCCTTGACGAACTGGTTGCCCTCGCTGGAACGATCCGAGACAAACTCCAGCGTGGCACCAAAGTCGCGGTACTTCTCGGCCAGCCACTCGAGGAAAGGCATCTGGTCGACGATTTCCATCTCCTGGCCCGTCGACTTGTCCAAGAACTGAGAGCGGTCCTCCTCCTGGACCTTGTTCGTGTGCAGGACGACCTCGGCACCCTCCGAATCCTTCAGGACCCAGCGGGTGACTTCCAGGTTCTCGTAGACGATGAGAACCTCGCAGGCACCGAGCTCCAGAGCCTTGAGCGTGTCCTCGATGCCGTAGCAAACCTTGCCGCTGTCCTGGCTGATCTCCTCGAAGTACTTGTTGATCAACTTCTTTTCCTGGATGAACTTGACGTTGCTCAGCGTCTCCGAGGCCAGTTCGATGGCCTGGTTGAAGCCGTTCTCTCCGCCGTACGACACATCGACGACCTTGATGACCTTGGCCTGGAGACGCTGGTCGAACAGGTCCGAAGCGTTCAGGTCGTTCTTGAAATCGGCGGAACCGGCGAGGATCAGGCCGGCGACGTTGACCTTGTCGTTGGTGATGAAGTTCTGGACGGCCAACTCGGCGACCTTGCGGACGTAGTTGTGGCGCTTCTCCTCACGCAGACGGGCGAAACGCAGGGCGGACTGACCACCACGTCCGTGCTTCTTGGGCAGGTCGACGGAGAACTTGTGGACAATCTCACGCGTGTTGCCGCTGAGGGTGCCGAACAGCGCGCCGTTGCCGTCCATGATGATGAAGCCGAACTTCTGGTCCGACTCCAGCAGCTCGCTCAGCGCCTCGGTGTGGAACTTGTTGTCGCAAAGGTAGAGCGAGGTGTTGATGGGCTTGAAGGGCTCGAAGTCGATGTTGATCTTGCGCTCCTTGCCTTCTTGGGTGATGATTTCACCGCAGTACACGACCAGGCCGTTGGGCGGGACCTTGGAGTAGAGCTTCAGGCGCTGCTGGGTCGAGGTGATGGCGGACAGGACGGAGAGGCGGTTGACGCGCGACTTGATGTTGGAGGCGGTGCCCTGGCGGCGAGGTCAGCGGCGGGCGCGCGTGGGCGGCGCGTTGAGACTCACGAATTCTTCAGCCAACATCTTGGCGGCACGCGAGACCTGGTCCTTGGGGGCTTTGGGCGGGGAGTCAGCGTGCGCCGGGGGCAGGTCAGGCCGCGGGGCAGGGTTGCGTACGGATGATGAGCGAGATCATGCTGGTGCCGTTGCCGCGGGCAGCCTCGAGGCGCTTGATGAGCTTCTTGACCTTCCATATCTCGATGTTCTTCTCGGCGTCGTTCGCCTGAGGGGCGCTCATGATGGCGGTGCGTGGCGGGACGTGCCAAGTGTGGGAGGGGTGGGTTTGCGAGTAGTTTTGCACGCGCCCGGACGGCTGGCGGGGGCTGGTTTAAGTAGGTCAGGCCCGGAGGCAGGCACCGCAGGCAGCTGGAGGCGGCGGGTGCGCTTTGGGAGGGACGGCAGACACGAAGACGAGCGCGGTGACTGGCAATGGGTCTGGTGCTGGGCAGCAGATGTTTTGGCGCACAGTCAATTTTCGTCATGGGCGCGCGGAGGCGGCCCCCGGGCTGCGCCGCCGCCAACAGCCCCGGCCCTGCTGCTTGCCACCCAAGGCCACAGGGCCACGGGGCGGATCACGACTCAGGCGCGAGACGTATCTGCACCGGCGTCCGAGCTCTCTTTGGTCGTGTTGAGTCGCTTCGCGCGCATCGCCATGACGTTGCGGCCTCGCGCGCACCGCGGCGCCCGCAGTTGCGTCGCGCTGCGCTTCTGCGCGTTTCTACCAGCGCCGCCCGCAGCGATGCCACCGCTCTGCTCCACCAGCCGTGCGTCTCGTGTGCCGCAATTACCATATCGGATTTGCCTTGTCAGTCGCAACCCTAGCTGCCGCGCAGATAAAAGCGCTACCGGCGCCCGAGTCTAGCCGTGGCCCAAGGCCCGTCGCGACCCTGAGTGCCCTGTTTCTTTAAAACCAAGCCGCGGCCCTAGGTCGCGTGGCCTCGAGCTCCTTCACAAATTTTCCCAAGTCGCACCGTGAGTGTGGAGGAAGTGTGTCGCCCGAAACCATGAACGTCCCGCCCAAGCAACCCACCAACTGGAATGAGTACGACGGCACTCACCGCGGATCCTTTGGCTCCAACACCACGAGCATCCAGTGGATCGACGATGACGATCGGCCGCCGCGCGCCGAGAGCAGCGGCTTTGCGCACCAGCTGCGCGGGAGAAGGTGGTTTGCCCGTTTGGACGTTTGCTGGACGCGCCCGCTAACCCGCCGTCCAGGTCCTCCATGTCGATGCGCTTCAACTCAATCCGCCACGCCGGCGGCGTGAACAGCATCGACAATTTCGCCCGCTCGTGGCAGCGCGCCGCCGGGTTCTACGAGGTCCAGCCCATAGAGGGGCGTGCATTCCGCTTCTCTGAGGGCGAGGGCGTTGACGAGAGGCACGACGATATCGAGTCCACTCCCGGCGAGCGGCGATCGCTCCTGCACGAAGCTTTCGTGACCGAAGGCCGCAGATCGTCTGACAATGCCGTCGCCACTGACGAGGATCCCGACGGCCATGACGACCACCTGCACGCACCGAGAAGCGGTTCTTTCCGCGACCAGAGCATCTTTTCTATTGAGCCTTCTCTGTCCTCGCCCTTCGGCAGCAGCTATGGCACACGCTATGGCAGTTTTCGTGGAACTAACGACGCCGCCATCCGCCAAGCAGCGAGGCTCTTCCACGAGCAGCAATTGAAGGGCACCACTCAGCCAGACCAGGACCGCGAGCCGCTGCTCGTGAAGCAAGTCGAGGAGGACGGCCATGTCATCAACGTCGTCGTCGGCCAGTCCACGCTCCCGCAAACAGTCTTCAACTCCGTCAACGTGCTCATCGGGATCGGCTTGCTGAGTTTGCCCCTGGCGTTGAAGTACACTGGCTGGGTCATTGGCCTTTCGTTTTTCTTTTTCTCCGCCATCGCAACCCAATACACTGCCAAACTTTTGGCAAAGTGTCTTGACCGTGACAACTCCCTCATAACCTTTGCCGACCTTGCTTACGTTTCGTTTGGCCACCGTGCGCGCGTTGCTGTCAGCATCCTGTTCACTCTCGAGCTGCTGGCAGCTTGCGTGGCCCTTGTTGTCCTTTTTGCGGATAGTCTGGATGCTCTAGTTCCTGGTCTCGGTAATTTGGGCTGGAAGATTGTTTGCGGTATTATTTTGATACCCCTGGGTTTCCTCCCCCTTCGCCTACTCAGTTTCACGAGTGTCCTCGGCATCCTTTGCTGTCTGGGCAGTAAGTGCCAACGTCAATGTAGCCAGGCTGTTGAACCTATGCTGACAGTGCGTAGTTGTCCTTACCGTCTTCATCGATGGAGCGATCAAACCCCACCAGCCTGGATCCCTTCAAGAGCCGGCCACGACGTACCTATTCCCCGAACACTGGGCTACTGTTCCACTCGGTTTCGGCCTTCTGATGTGTAAGAACTTCCCAAGACCCGTAGAGGTCCTTGATACTGACTAGAACGCAGCACCTTGGGGCGGTCACAGTGTCTTTCCCAACATCTACAGGGATATGCGCCATCCTTACAAGTACTCCAAGGCCGTCAACGTCACATATTCCTTCACTTTCCTCCTGGATTTGAGCATGGCCGTGATCGGTCTCCTCATGTTTGGAGATGGTGTGCGGGATGAGATTACGTCCAACGTTCTGCTCACGGATGGCTACCCACGTTCGCTGTCTATCCTGATCATCGTCTGCATTGCTATCATTCCTTTAACCAAGGTCCCGCTAAAGTGAGTACTCCATCGAGACATTATGAGCTCTTCTTACTAAAATCTTTCCTCAGTGCCCGCCCCATAATCAGCACCGTCGAATTATTCTTTGGTCTCGATGCACGCACCCTTGCCGTCTCGCCAACCCTCCACGGGTCATCCGGTCTCAGCAGGGGCATTCTCAAGATCACCATCCGCATCGTTACAACCGCTGTCTTCGTCATCATTGCCATAATCTTCCCGTCGTTCGACCGCATCATGACTCTCCTCGGCGCAGTTGCCTGCTTCTCCGTGTGCCTCATCCTACCTCTGGCCTTCCACCTTAAAATCTTCGGCAAGGAGATTGGACGATTTGAGCGCTGGGGCAACTGGGCACTCATTATCCTCAGCACTATCATGGCCATAATTAGTACGGTGTTTGCCTGTTTGCCCAAGGACTTGATAGTCTCGACATGATAGTCGACTTCTTTTTGCCCAAAAATCTTCGTTGCTCATAGAACTGCATCACTTCAGCCTTTGTTTAATTGGAGCCTAAAATTGTAGTCGGACTCTTTCCTCACATGGCTACGTACGGATTTGGTTTTGAATACTTTAAGATCTCTTCACTGATCTGTTTATTATTTGGAGTAAACATGGAGAATCACTTTCGATAGGTCTATTGGCGTCTGGAGGGAAACTTCTAGTACTTGCGCTTTTGGGTTCACATATTACGCCAAGAGTGAATCGCTCCTTTCGTGTACGAATTTGCTCATATTTCTCAATGGTCTTGTCTGGATTGTGCTGCCTTCTTTCATCGCCTGGTACGCGACCAAAAGTCTACTTCACTAATACACAAAAGTTGTTCCTCTTCACGCCGGGATTCACCTCAACCTTTGAAAATTTTTGCCCTTTCTCCGCCTGATTTTCTCCGAGTTTCCAAAGCTGGTAGACCAATTTAGCCGTTATCTTTTCCCGGAGCAGGGCGTAACCGAGGCTTTTCATGATTTGCTCGAGACGTCGTCGATCGAGATAGCGAGAGTTCGTGACGCAAGGCGCGGGCAGAACGAGGAACAGACAAGGCTTCGGGAGCTCAGCAGCATCAGCAGCAGCCCCACCATCATCCAAGTCCTCGGGTCTGCGTAAAAAGGTGCGCGTGCGCTTGAGCATCTCACCACGCCCCTCAGCATCCGGGACGTAGTTGAGGACCAGCGACAGCGATATGATGTCGAAGCGTTCCTCGTCCGATGCCGCGAGCGGTCGCTTCATGAAATCCTGCTGGAGGATGCCGGGGGACTGCGAGTTCAGATCGATGCGCTCCACGACGAGATAGCGGCGCTTCGAGCAGGCGTTCTCCGTCGAGAGTGCGCCCACCTCGAGCAGTTTGCATTTCCGTCCCTCCGGGTCACCTCCCTCAGCTTTCCTGTGGGCCGAAGGCAGACCCAGCTCCTGCAGCCAGTCGACGAGCACGCGGCTGCTGTCTCCGCCGCGCTCGGAGCTCTGGCCGGTGATGCTGGCAGCCTGGTACGTCTTCAGTCCGCCCTGCTCGTCGATCTTCTTCTGAATCTCGGCCGCCCTGGCATGGTCGCCTGCTTTGACGGCTTGGGCGTGCGCCTTCTGCAGCTGGTGGTGGGTGCGGATGATGGTGGCGGTCGCTTTTGCGGAGAGGGTTGCGGCGGTTTTCTTGGTGTTTATGTGCGGGCTGCGGCCGTGGGATAGGAGGCTGGGCTTCTTGCCCTTGCGCTTCGCCGCGACCATCGGGGCTTCATATCATCTTGCGAATGGACGAAACGAGGCCAAATGATTGTCGGCGCGGGATGCGCTTGTAGCGACGGTCGGGCCGATCAGACGAAGTCTTGGCGCTACCCTCGACGCCGCTAGGCCTGGTTGGGCAGAGCAAGCGAGGCGGCGCTCAACGTTAAGTCGAAATTCGCACACCCTCTCTCTTCTGCATCCGACGACGACTTCACGACAGCCCCCCGGACGACAACAGTAGAAATGGCACCCAAGGCTAAGAGTATGTGAACGCACACCTTCAATCGCGAACGACTGGCCTGGCCGCGGATCGGACTTTGCAGCATTGCGCCCATTCGGCCAACTCCAGCGAAGTTTTCCAGAGCGCGCGTACCTTTTGGCTGAGGAGAAGCACCGGCTAACATTTTTGCGCGTTTACAGCCTCCAAGCCCTCCGCTAAGGCTTCGGCCGCGGCCAAGGCTACCCTCAAGGGTGTAAGGACCCCTCTCAGTGGCGTGTGAGCACCCGCATCGCTCACGGCCTTGTTTTGCTCACGCAAAATTAGGTCAACTCGCACAAGGTCCGCAAGGTCCGCAAGAGCACCACCTTCCACCGTCCCAAGACGCTCCAGCTCTCGCGCGCCCCCAAGTACCCCCGTACTTCGATCCCGCACCAGCCCCGTCTCGATGCGTCCAAGGTCATCATCCACCCGCTCAACACGGAGAGCGCGATGAAGAAGATTGAGGAGAACAACACCCTCGTCTTCATCGTCGACGTCAAGTCGAACAAGCGCCAGATCAAGGAGTCTCTCAAGAAGCTCTACGACATCGAGACCATCAAGGTCAACACCCTGATCCGGTAGGTCCTCGATGTTCCTTTTGTCTCCCGATTCCCGAGCTAATGAGATTTTGTTCCAGCCCTGACGGCAAGAAGAAGGCCTTCGCCCGCCTCACCCCCGATGTCGATGCCCTCGACATTGCCGCCACCAAGCTCCAGATCGTCTAAGCGACGAATCTTTGAAACAAAAGATGCAAAAAAGCTGGGGTTAGGGGGCCGGAGTTTTTTTAGCGGCTGTTGTTGCGGGCTGTACCTATACCAACTACTGCCGGGAATAAAAGTCATCTGGATCAAAAGGTGGATAGCGCTCGGAAACAGCCAATCTACAGTCATGAAGGGAAAAACCAACCAATTCTTCGATACCCGCTTCATTCATTTGAGCCAATGAAGCACGTTTGCCGTTCTTCTTGAGCTGAATTGTCATTTGAGTGAATCTGCCATCTGCTCTTTATCGAGCACGCTTCGTCTATGGTTAAAGTGGAGCTGTCTTTTTGCTACTATGATACAATGATGATGCTCGCGCCTGATATTGCAACTTCCGAATCACCTCTTAGCCCATGCGTCTGAAGTCTCGCACTGCATATCGTTTCCGTCCCAGCCCTCACATGTCGTCGCGACATGCCAAACATAGCAGTCGTCCTCGGTCCGCTCCGTCGCGCGGCGCCATCTTCTTCTTCTCCTGCTAACCTTCAAAAATCCCATTCCACATTTTGTCCCAATTTTTTTTTCTTCTTCCTTCGTCGTCGTATATCATTTAACTGGAGGTCCGCAGCGTCTCGAGCTGCTTGAGGACGACGCCGTTGGCGTCGAGGAAGCGGTCGACGCAGTTCTGCATGCAGGGCTCCTCGTACTTGTCCAGCTTGCCCGACGAGATCTTGGAGGCGACGCACTTGCGGAAGCAGATGTCGGTGAGGGAGTGGATCGCTAACGCATCGTTTCATTTTCAGCGGTCAGCTTTGATTTGATGGTATATACGGTGTGTGTAGGGTGATGATGGTGGTGTTGAGGGATGGAACTGATGACGGGACGGGTGGGAGGGGGAGGGTTTGCGCCATACAGCCTTGGATCCTGGCCTTTTGCGACTCGTTGACGACGAATTGCTGCAGCTCCTGCTTGTCGCGGTCGGAGAGCTTGGTGAGGTCGAGGTTGCCGGTGGAGAGGGAGTCCATGGTCGTTGTGGTTGTTGTCGTGTGGGCTTGTTGAATGCTGTGCGATTCGGTGGGAGCACGGGTCGAGCGAGGGAGGATTGGGACGCGATACGGATGGCTGCGTGTGCGGTGTCGGTTTGGGGTTGCGACTTTGCGAATATGACGCTGGTGATTATGATGACAATGCGCGAAAGCTTTACTTGCGGCTGGCCCGGGCTAGGCTGTGTTCGGATTGGTCGGGACTGCGGCCGTAGATCAGCCCTTGAGCGCTTATCGCCGACGCATCTCTCTCGCGCTCTTTCTCTCTCTCTCTCTCTCTTCAACCTACCTACTTCTCCATGATGGCGCATATTTGCCGAGCCCTTAGCTCTGGATTTGACTCATCATTCGTCATTCGGTCGTGAAAATGGCCCTTCGTACCGGCTCCAGTCCTCCTCCAGCCACGCCCGCTTGGCCTTGCTCTGTGTCGTAGGCAGACACTACTGATGCCTGATGGACGAGATGGTATCGGGGCATGCCGCCTTTTTTCTGCTTCATCAAAGCCGCAGCCTCCCGTCCTTCTCGTGTCCACAGGGTGTACCCATGTACCCTGGAGCCCTATGGTTGAAGCCGTCACACCGACTGTGGTCGCCCTCCTTTCGACCGCAAGCGTCAAGGCCGCGCTGACGTGACCGATGGTTCGCAAACCTTGGCTCCAGAGAAGACACGAAAACGTTCATGACGGCCACAGGTAGGTGCCGGGCGTGACGGCGTTCCGGCCGAACGGCGAGTTTGCTGTCAAGGGCCTGCTGCCGGTCACGACATGATCATCCCTTTGCTTTGAGCTCGGAAATGAGCACCCATCTCCCCTTTCTATATAGCACTCGTCGCATTACACACTAGCTTCCGTCTCTTTTCCCCAGATGAGCTTAAATGCACTTTTCCGCATATATATTATTTTTATTGATCAACAATTTCGAATCCTGCCTCCTGAGAGGATTTGGTTAATACATTATCGCCGTTGTTCCCTTCCGCTCTCCACCATCAATAATCCCGTCTTCTTCCTTTCCATTCTCTTTCCTCAACCACACAAAACCGCCACAATGCAACCGCTCTCCCTCCTCTCCAGCATCCTCCTCGTGCTCCCCAACCTCGCCGGCGCCGCCCCTGCCGCCGGCGCCGCCGGGTCCTTCCTGCTCATCCCCACCACCGACTCCGTCGCCCTCTCTTCTGCGCACTACTCCTCCTCCGACGTCGAAACATTGGGGAATGGAAGAACAGCAGCGCCGCCGAAGCATCAGCAGCAGCAGCAGCTCGCCGAGGTGGTGCTGGCGCTAGCGGACGAAAGCAGCAGCACCGACCTCGTTTCGCCGTCAGCCGTCTCCACCACCAACAAGGCGCTTTCGACCATGACGTCCGGCGCGGCGTCCGCCTTGTCGACAACGACGACGACAACAACAACGACAACAACAACATCGTCCTACGCCCCCGTAGTGGAGGAGGAGCAGGAGGAGGAGAGCGACGAGGAGAAGAAGAAGTCTTCGAGCAACCAAAAGCGAGCGTCGGAAGGAGGCAGGACGACCGGGAGCAGTTCTGCGGGGTCAGATCTGTTCTTGGGGGAGGGCAAGGTGTTTGGGGTCATGGTTCTGGGGTTGCTGGTTGTGCCCGGGGCGTTGGTCTTGGGGTTGTAATGGACCGTTTTTGTGTCTCTCTGTCTCTGTCTCTGTCTCTCTCTATCTCTCTTTTTCTCTATTCTTTTTTTTGTTTTTACTTTCTTTATATTTTTCCTTTGTTTCTCCTTTTTTTTTTAGGTGTGTGGGTATGGGCGCATTGGTTCATGCATTGCATGTCGCTGGACGTGGGAAACGGGGTTTATGGATGGGGGAGAGTAATAATTGTGCTAAAGAGGGAGAGGCGGGGCAGTGTGGGGGCAGTAATGTCTAGTAAGCTGGATGCAGGGACGCGCTGCTGACAGGCGTGGTCAGATGCAGTGGCGGGACGACAAGGGAGTGGGCGCGTAGATATCGCAGGGCGGCGTTCGGAAAGCCGGGGCTGAGATGAGCAGGAAGGACAAAAAAAAACCTCCCGGGGCGGGAAGGCTGGAGGGATGCGCATCCGTCGCGATGTGCGATGTGCGAAACGGGAAAAAGAAAGGACCAGAGAACGGCGGGCGGGTGGTGAAGAAGGGTCAGAAACGGGCGGCTTTATTCCTGGATGAGGGCAGTGCTGCTATTGTCTTACTCACACTTGGGCGCTCTCGCTCCAGATGTGGGCAATCCGGGTACCTGCGAAGATATTCTGCACCTATCGTTACACAACTGCGGCACAGAACCGTCTTATCGTTCCTCCCGAGCATCTCTCTCAGCCTCGAGTGCCTAGTACCTCGAACATCACACGTTGCCGGAGAAGACTGATTTCAGCGTCGTCAACCTGCGCAGGCGTGGGACTCGAGGAGAGAACAGCATGCAGATCATTCTCGTTAGATGGTTTTCTTGTAGACAGAAGCAACCATGTTCTGGTTTCTTGCCCAAAGCGTATGGTCTCGAGGGCGTGGGATGGTTTTGCAGCATCACGCGGGTACAGCTGGTTATTCGAGGCGCAAAGGTCTGGCCGCAGCAGAGACGGCGGAGTCATTGTGGGACTCTGGTGGAGAGGGGCGGTGTATGGGGCCTGCGCAGGCGGCCCTGCAACGGGCGGCCTCTGAGGCTCAAGTAGGAGTGGCTTAGTTGGGGGCCAAAGTCCGGGGGAACCACGCGCAGGGACCAGCATGACGGCAAGCAGCTCAACGTCCGTCCGTGTGTTTTCCTGCGCCACAGCCACGGACTCTGGCTGAATCCTTCCAGAAAACCCACGTCCAGCCACTCACCGGCCCCGTCTCGAGCCCTGCGGACTCCATTCCCGGAATAGTCGCCAGCCCATTCGCCGCCGCCGCCTTCTGGGCAGATCTCAAGGCTGAATCTCACCCGGCCTTGACTCTTTCTGCTGCACGCCATGTAGCATCCCTGGTCCGTCTCCCTGCTGCCGGCGCCCATCCATGACGTACGGGATACCGAGCCCGGTTACCGGGGCCGCTCACCAAGTCAGCAACGGGAAATAGAACAGTGCACTGCTGCCAAAGAGGACTGAACACACGACTCGCCATCACCATGTCCCCAGGCAGCCAACACCGCCATGGTTTTGCTGTTGGTTTGCGCATTTGCGCAACTTCGCTTCTCCGCACCCGCGACCCGGCCTAGAGTCCCACCGTGATGATGTCTGCCTGACGGTGTCCCGTCCGGTGAGAGGGCGATGACTCCCCCAAACCTTACCCTTCCATTCGTCTTTCGCCCTCTTGATCCTTCGGGGCTGTGTCATGTGGATGATGGTAAACGGGAGGCCTCTGCCTTGAGGGAGGCCGGGTAGCCATCAGACTGTGTGGATATAAAGTCTACATCCATCCCATTGTCCAATATGAATTCGCCATCACTATCAAACAGCTTCACAACACCAACAGCAGCAACAATGGCAGTCATGACTTTCGACCCCAGAGAGCAAGTTCTCCAACTGCTGCGTCGCAGCACCTTCACCATCCCGGACCTTAAGGAATGCTTCCGGGACTGGCCTGTCGCATGCAGCCCGCACCTGGACCAGATCCGCAAAGACGTCCATGCCTGGCTAGAAGAGTAAGCAGCAATCACCACTTCATCGTGTATAAACAGTCACTGACACGACTCCAACAGGACTCTCGGCGAGGGTAGAGCACTCAAGATCTCCAAGCGCGCAGACTTCGGCCTCTTCGGCGCCACCGAATGGCCCTACGCCAGCTACGAGCGGTGCCGGATCGCCTGCCTCTTCTGCGCCTGGGTCTTCACCTGGGACGACGAGATCGACTCGTCCCTGGGCTCCATGGGCGACGACCTCGAGAGCGCGCAGACGTACCGCTTCGAGACGATCCAGTTCGTCAAGGAGACCCTCGGCCTCTGCCCCCCGAGCCCGGCCGGACCCCCCTCCAACAAGATCATCCGCAACTTCCAGGTCGTCGGCGACGCGCTGCGCGCCGCCTACTCGCTCCCCCAGCGCCGCCGCTTCTTCGCCGAGGTCGACCGCTTCATGCAGGGCACCGAGGACGAGCAGCGCCGCCGGCTGCTGTCCCGCGACCTCCCCACCCTCGCCCAGTTCTGGGAGTACCGCCTCGGCTCCAGCGCCGTCAACATCTGCACCGCCCTCATCGAGTACGCCCACGGCGACACCCACACGGCCCTCCCCGAGCCCGTCTGGGCCGACCCGGACCTCCACACCGTCCTGCGCAACACCAACATCCACCTCTCCGCCCTCAACGACCTCTACTCCCTCAAGAAGGAGGTCGCCAACGACGCCGTCGAGTCGCTCGTCCCCATCCTGCTCGCCAACGCCGCCGTCCCCGACCTCCCCGCCGCCGTCGCCCACGTCGCCGCCTTCGTCGCCGAGCGCTCCGCCGAGCTGGACGAGTGCGCCGCCCGCCTGCTCGAGCGGTATCCCGAGTGCGCGGCGGATCTGCGCCGCTTCGTCGACAACTGCCGCTGCATGTGCACCGGGAACCGCACGTGGAGCCTCAGCACCGGCCGCTATGGCATCTCACAGCGCGACGTCAGTCCCGCGGATGGGTCTATCTTTATGGATCTGGCGGAGCTGTGTGCCAAGGGCGAGCCGGAGAGGAGGCCTGGCAGCCCCGAGGAAATGGGGTGTTGAGGATGGGTGTCGTTCCGTTTCCTCCACCCCCCTTTTTTTCTTTTGGTGGTGTTTTCGGCGTACTGCTGGGAAGATGGCTGGGTTGCTATTTTGGGGGTGTGGATGTGTGACTGATTGATTGGGGGTGGCTTTAGTTTTTTTGTTTTTTTTTTTTTTGCGAAGAACAAGACTTCTTTTGGAATGGCTCACGCCTCATGTGGTACGACATCTATTACGTAGCATCGCATTTTCAGCATGTTTAGGGAGTGATTGGATACCTCTGTTTTGGATCATGTATATATGACAATCTTGAAAGTGTTTTCAAACTGTAATATGAGAAACCGAATGTGACAACCCGTGAGCTTGTAGTGGGCAATGATGCTCACTTCGCAAGGAATCTCTGATTTCTGTTGGCGCAAGGGTAAAGCTGTAGTATTGGCCGAGGTTTGCCGGGGAAGAATCTTGCCATCAGGCCCCTTGTCCTGACGCGAAAAGTTTTGGTCACGTTACCGACATGACTTGTGGGTCGCAAACAGCTTTCACTGATTCCATCCCCGTATGGCTCACAACCAAACATACTTGTAGATGTTTGTTTGACACTCAAAGAAGAATGTGCATATTTCGTAACGGAGTGTATATCAAGATAGACTGCTGGCCATCATCTCTATTCTTTCTTAGCCAAGTCTGTATATTTTTTACACGGACGTACACGGTGGGATCGTCGTCCATGAGAACCGGGGAGACGGACCAGATTTCCGAGCTCATGAGACTGGCCCCGTTGTGCCTTTCTACCATCTGCTGGTTTTGCTGCAGGCTAGCCCCGTCGCCTGACCATCTGGACGAATACACGAGCCTCATCTCCGGCAGTTCCTCACTCCGACTTCCGCAGAATTCTACACTCAAGTTGTTCCTGGCCCAATTGTGGAAGCCCTGGAGTCCAGGACCAGAGATTGGGTCGGGTTTTGCATTTTCATAGACACAGTTCAAGTCAAAGCCACAAGCCAAGCCATGGCCACGGTGTGCAGTTCGGGTGGGGATCGACAGGGGTCGGCAGCCAGGTTTTCTGCAAAAGGACAAGAAGCGACGTGCTCGGTTCCGATCGAGAAGATCCATCGTTGGCAGCTAGATTTGACAATAGAGCCTCTTGGTTGATGGCAGTTTGATCCAAGCGTTCGTGTGCTCTCATCAGGTCCTGATGCTTCGGCGGCCGGGTCCAGCGCGGTACGGTGTCCTCTGGGCCGGTTTAAGAACAAGTCTTCTCGCGCTGAACTCGTCAACTCCGGCAAGAGACGTGGCTGATGCAGGTCACGAGAGAGTGGATGGACTGGCGCAGGCAGGGGCACGGGGCAAGTGTTGTCGGAGTAGGGTTTTTGTCGGGACGGGGAGCAGGGCTGGCACTGGGCTGCTGGCGGGCCGAGCGGTAGCGTGTGAGCTGCCAAGGCCGACAAGCGCGACGCATCTGCCACCTCTATCTACTTGCGCCGCCCACACATCTCCAGACTCACCTTGGCAAGCGCCCAGCTCCTCGCCAACTGCACGTCGCCTCTGTCTGCGTGCCCGACGGCGTAGCCCGAGCCCCCGCTCCGCCTGCCCCGCCCGCAACGCTGCCCCCGAGCGCGACGCCCCACGAGACCCGCTCAACCGCTCACCCGCCAACCTCCTCCGCGCCTCCATCGCGACCTGCATGCCCGTGCCACCACCGCACACCGCCCGCCGTTTCTGACATCGCCGGGCGTCATGGCCTGGCAGAGCCCCTCCGCCATGGGTAACGGCCAAGCCCAGCAGGCCGACACCCAGGGCCCCGTCGGCACCGAGTACACATTGCAGGGTGCGTCCAAGCTCCCAGCCCGCTCCCAGCCCGCTCCCTTCCCCCAACCGCTGACCCGGCCGTCCAGGCGTGATGCGCTTCCTCCAGCTCGAGTGGCACAACCACGAGAGAGCCCGCAATGCCTGGGACATCGAACGCGCCGAGATGAAGGCCAAGATTGCGAAGCAGGAGGGCGAGGTCCGCAGCGCCAAGCGCCTCAACGACCAGCTGGAAAAACACGTCAAGATGCTGGAGAACGCATTGAGGAACGAGCGCCAGAAGAGCAAGGCCCACGCCCAAGGCGAGAAGCCCGCCGACCAGGACAAAGGCAAAGAGCGCGCCAGCCCCGACCTCAAGCGCAAGCGTGCGTCGACAAGGCCCCTCGTATCTGGTGCAGCTGCTGATATCTTGCTACAGCCGCCAACAAGCAGCACAACTCCTTCCTCGACATCGAACTCGAGTCCCACGAGCAGCCCGAGCAGGAACGCGAAGCCGCGCGCGACAAGTCGAGGCAGTTCCTCACCAAATGCGTCGAAGAAATCACCTACCTCTTGCAGCCGCCAGCCCATCCTCCGCCCACGCACGCTCAGTTACACTCGATGGCCAACTCGTCCGGTTTCATGAACCAGGACATCCCTTTGGAGGAGGCATACATGCAGCAGCACCGTCAAAAGGGAATCCCCATGACCCTGCCGCAGCAAGCTCCCATTCCCAACCATCAGCCGCCGCCCGTGCCGTCTCTCGCTGATGTTCCTAATCTCACTCACACCTCGCAATTGCCCCAGCAAGCCCCTTTTATGACCAGAGAGCCGCCGAGCGCCCAGCCGCTTCCCCAAATCCCCGTCTCTGCCGATGCGCCTCAGTCACACATCGAAGCCGAGCCCCAATTTTCGAACATGCCCGAGGAGGAGGTGGAAAAGGTCACGCACAGCTATGACAGCTACGGCCGCCCGCTCCCTGCGAGAGAATCCGAGCACGGCAGCGTTCAGAGCACTGTGACCGAGGACCCCGACGGCTGGAACTTCGACGACACGGCCCCACCGCCTGAGCCGCCGCCAGAGGTTCCGCCGCCGCGGAGACCCGACACGGACATTTTTCCGAGCGCCAACAGTATTCCGGCCAAGTCTCCGCCCCGCTCTGGTCCGCAATCACACAGGAGAAAGAGTTCAGGCGCGCAGTCAATGTCGCGGAGGAGAAGTCAAGGAAACGAGATGGGCGACGTCTCTGCGCAGGGCGCCAAGGCCGATCCTCAGCAGTTCAAGGTCCGATATGCTCTCCGCGGTCATCTTGACGTCGTCCGCTCCGTCATTTTCACCGGGGGAGGCACGCCCTCGGAGCCCGAGATCTGCACCGCGGGTGACGATGGCACGATCAAAAGATGGATAATACCAGCCAGCTATGCCGCCGGGCAACACAACTCTCTCGGTGCCGACATTGATATCCAAAGCTATTTCACTCACAGAGGACACGAGGGCGTGGTCACGTCTCTTGCCGCATCCAACGCAAGCTTCTCGACCGGTGGAAGAGTCACGGGCGACGGGTGGATATTCTCAGGTGGTCAGGATGCAAGTGTCAGAGTTTGGGAAAGAGGACGTGTCGATCCGAAGGCGACGCTTGATGGCCACACGGATGCTGTTTGGGCTGTCTGCGTCCTCCCGTCCAACTGCGGACAGGTGTTCGGTGGAGGCGCGAGCAACTTCGGCGGTCCTGAACGGGTGCTCTTGGCCTCTGGCTCGGCCGACGGCACCATCAAGATCTGGGCCGTCAGCGCGCCTCCTCAGCTCGTTTCTCCCTCAGCCGGCTCGAGGCGCGGAGTCGGCGGCAGCCGCAGGCATTCCGTCACCTCGGGCTCAAACTTCCCGTCTTCGCCCCAGCCCAGCGTGGCCACGTCGACGCCTTTCCACTGCACGCTCGTCCACTCGATCGAGCGCGCGGGCGTGCCGTCGCCGACGTGCATCACCCCGCTGTCCAAGACGGGCGAGACCATCGTCGTCTCGTACACGGACGCGTCGATCCTCATCTTCGACACGCGCACCGGCGAGGAGATCATCGGCATGGCCAGCGGCGAGACGTACGACGGCACGGGCAAGACGGGCGTCAACACGGTGGTCGCGGTCCCCTCGATCGAGGCGTCGTCGAGCGCCGAGGCGGGCCGCGGCAGCGGCGAGGAGGAAGGCGGACTGCACGGCGCGACGGGCACGGCGGGCGGCGTCGAGGGCGTCGTCATCAGCGGACACGAAGACAGGTTCATCCGGTTCTTCGACGCCAACAGCGGTAAGTGTTTGCCCGAGTACAACAGCTCAACTCAAAAAAAGCCGTCGGAACTTGTTTTTTTTTTTTTTTTACTGACGCAAACAAAAACCCAGGCCAATGTACATACTCGATGCTCGCGCATCCCGCCGCGATTTCCGCACTCCACCTGTCGCCCGACGGCCGCGAGGCCGTGTCGGCGGGCCACGACGCGTCGATTCGGTTCTGGTCGCTCGAGAAGCGCATCTGCACGCAAGAGATATCGAGCCACCGCATAATGCGCGGAGAAGGGGTTTGCAGCGTCGTGTGGAGCCAAGACGGACGCATGGTCGTTTCTGCGGGCGGCGACGGTGTGGTGAAGGTGTTTGTCAGGAGCCTCATTCACGCGTAGTAGTAGTAGGTTGGTTGTGGGGTTGGGTGGGTGGGGAGCGGCATGTGTGTATGGGATTTTTCAACGATGGATTGTTATGGGACGGATGGATGGATGCATGGATGGATGGATGCATGAGATGATATGCAAAAAAACAAAGCCGGCCGGGCGTCGGGGAGACACTCGCGCGCTACGAATACAGGAAACGGCATTTTTTTTTGCCCCCCCTCCTACCCCTTAATAGTTGATGGAGATGTTTTGATTGGGCTTTTTTTTTCTTCCGGGGGATTGAACGCCTCACGTATTTCAAAAGAGAGGATGATGATGATGATGATGAGAGAGAACAGAGAGGAGGGAAGGGGCGGGAGGAAAGGCGTTGATTAGTCTTTGTCGTTTTCCCTTTTTTACTCTACGTTCCATGGTGTAGTAATGTCCTGCTTCCTCCCTCTTCCTTCCTCCCACTCCGCGCTTTCTCTTCTCTTTCTTTCTTCTTCTACCACTACTGCCGCTTGATGGAGGGGGGTGAGCCGAGCGCAAAATACCATATAATCATTTTTTTCTCCCCTCCCCCACCTTCTCTCTTCTCTTCTTCAGATTCTTGTATGAAGCTTATGGCTTTTGCTTATTCTTCTTTTTTATTGTTTTCTGATCTCCGTTTGAGAGAGGAGGCATCGCATCTCCCATCTTTCTCGCTACTACTACTACTACTCCTCGATCGCTATATTGCATCCCGCCTTTGCTTACTACTGGGCATTTGGAAGGCGCAACGCACGGTCTTCGACACTGCACATTTATCATCGTTTATTTGGTGGATGTGTGTGTGGGTGTGTCTCGTGGGGAGATAGGGCACTTTTTTTTTTGCGCCGTCGCATCGTTGCTGCATACTCGGGGAAGGGGAATCACAAAAAAAGGAGGCATAAAGGCCAGATGTTAGTTCTGAGAGAGCGAGAGAGGGACAGAGAGGGACAGAGAGAGAGAAGAGAGGGAGAGAAAGAGAGAGAGAGAGAGAGAGAAAGCAAAACCAGAAAAAAAAACAAATTTATTACTTGCAGTAGTGCCCGATGCCGATCGTTTTTCGTGTCGTTCCGTCGTCGTCGATGGATGCTTTGAGGGCGCGAGAGGGAGTAGAGAGAAGGGAGGGCGGGGGAAAAAAGTATAAGCTGAAACCGGATGCGGGATGGGTGAACTTTTTCCTTTTTTTGAAGAGAGAGCGAGATAGGGGTGCTCGTGACAAGCGGCAGAGCGGCTGTTGAGGTAGCTGCCGAGGGGATGGCTATGGCGGACGACCGGTTCCGGAGCGTGAGTTTTCATCAAGTGAAAAAGTCACGTCTATACCGGTACCTTGGCGGCAAGGGGGGAAAGGTGAGGTGAGGCTGAAGCTTTTTCTTTAGTGCGAGGGATGCGGAAAGGGCTTACTAGCGGGTCGGGCTGCGGAGACGGGAGCGGGGGTGTGCGTGTGTGCGTGTGGCGCCGGCGGGGTTACCGGTATGGGGTTTGCAGCAGCGCCAACAAGGTATGTGCGTCGCGTCTGGGCTGCGTGGATGGTTGGAGAGGGTTTTGGTGTGCCACCAGACGCGGTCTAGCCCCGGTCTGAGACAGGGGTGCGTGGCTATTAGTGGCAACGAGGAAGTGTCACACCCAGCGGCGGAAAGTCACGATGATGGCTGTTGCGGCTGGCTGATGACTCGTTCGCTCTCCCCTTCCCCTCTGCGGAGGCGGGGCGTCCCGAGCAACGCACACCGTCTCGCGGGCCCGAGGAGACAAAGGGTTCCGGTCGTTCCGCGGGGGGTTACGCAGGAGCTGAGGCCGCGTTACAAGGCGCACTAGACTGTAGGTCTCATTCCTTCTTGCGGGGTTGGGCTGCTGCTCGCTGCTGCAAGGGGCCGCCACCTGCGCAAGCTCCGCGCGCCGGAAGGAGCGGGCTGGGCTCCGTATCTGGCTATTTGGCTTCGTTTGCCGCTGCTCGTACCCTCCTCTCACCTCAGCATCTTCTCAGCTGGTTGCCATTAGTATTCCTATTCGCCTTCTCACGGTTGCTACCTACTCTTACTTGGGCTCCAAGACATTGTCGCACGCGCCGTGCTGCATACTGCTCGGCTAGCATATCAACTTCAACGTGAGTGGTCGCTTGTTTTGTTTAAAGAGCTCCCGCATGTTTCAAGATACGGTCACACAAGAAAAAGAAGGCTGCACCGGTCAGGTCGTTTGTCCACTGGATTGGTTCTACGCATCGTCGACGATTGGTAGAACGTGGACTTCGGCCGGGGCTCGGGCCTGCACGAAGGAACGCGCCTGCTGCATGCGCACGTATTATATACAGACACTTCAACCTCTCGTCTTCTTGCACCTGTTGTCTGACCCTACCTTTGCCTGTCGTGTAACTCGACATTCTTCCCTATTTTGTACATGTTTTCCCCAGTCAATTGCAGTCCCAGTCAGCCTGCTGACGTACCTCCCTCTTCTCAGCCAAACTCCTCTTTCCCTTTAAACTCGGACACGCACACGCTCCACCTTCTTCCACCACCATCAACCATGGCCGCCGCTCAGCCCCAGCCCATCTCCAAGCTCGCCCCGACCGCCGTCGCGCCCAACAGCCGCCACCTCCTCCCCCTCGCCGAAGTCCCGACACCGGAGCCCTCCCCTTCGCCTTCTCACACCAACACCAGCATCAACAACGACAACGAAAACAGCAACTCCACTCACGCGGCGGCCCCTCCGCCCACCCTCCAACTCCCAAACAAGAACAAAGACCTCCCCCCCACACCTCCCCGCACCGGCCGCTCCTCCCCAATCACAACCACCACCACCACCACATCATCTCAACCACCCAACAACCCTCACCATCCTCCCGCCCACCCCCACCCCCTCCCCCTCCCCGCCTCCGACACCTCTCCCGCCTTCCCCTCCTCCGAACCAGCCACGCCAGCCGCCCTCCTCCCCCACCCCGTCAACGACGACCCCTTCGTCCCGCACAGCAGCCACTTATACGGCCGCTCCTACACGCCCCACCCCGACGACTTCCGCCCCCCGCCGCAGCACGTGCAGTCGACGGCGGCGGCCAGCGTCGCGTACTGGGAGCGCTTTCTGGCGACGGGGTGCACGGCCGAGACGATGGTGGTGGAGCCGGTGGGGTGGGGTGGGGGTGGGGGTGACGGAAACGGAAACGGTGGTGGTGGTGGTGGAAATGGTGGTCCAGGTGCGGCGATCGGGCGGTGGGTTTTTGCGGTGGGGGGGTGCGTCGTCAAGACTAATCATTTTGCGGTGGGGGCAGAGGGGGAGGCGGCGGCGGCGGCGGCGGCGGCGGCGGCGGCGGGCAGGAGGAGGAGGAGGGAGTATGCGGGCGTGGATGCGAATGAGGTTGCGGCGTTGGGGTTGGTGCGGGGGAACGGGGAGGGGGAGGGGGATGGCGTGCGCGTGCGCGTGCCGCGGGTTTATTTTGCGGGGAAGTTGCTCGGGGGGGATGTGTTGGTGCAGGAGAGGTTGCCCGGGGTGAGCTTGGAGGTGGCGTGGCCGTATCTGGACCGGGAGGCGAAGAGGGGGGTGAGGAGGGAGGTGAGGGCGTTTGCGAGGCGGTTGGCCGAGACGGTGGTCAGGCACGACGGCGGGACCAAGAGGGCGTATGTCGTGGATGATTACAGCGCCATTTGGGCGAGGGCGCTGACGCCGAGGGAGAGGAGGTTGATGCTTCCGCCGCCGCCGTCTGCGTCTGCGTCCGTCTCGCAGCAGAGAGCGAAGTCGGCGTTTGCCGCGGGTAGCGGGGCCGCACGAGCGGGCATCGGTTGGGGGACGATGAGGGGCGGCCACGACGATGGTGGTGTTGTTGCTACTACTACCGGCGGCAAACGCAAAGACAGCGGCCTCGACTCCTCATCCTACTCACCACCGCCACCACGACGCTTCCAAACCAGCACCAACGTCTTCCACGACTCGTCTTCCTCGGACAACGACGACCCAGCCTACTCTCTCGACCACCCCGACTCGGACACTCGCTTCGCCCACAACGACCTCAGCACTTCCAACATCATCGTCGACCGCGGAGAAGATGGCACAGTCCACGTCGTCGGCATCATCGACTGGGAGCACGCCGGCTGGATCGGCTGGCGCACCACGGCCGCCGTGCATCGCGAGCTGCGCGCCCCGCTGGTCGACATGTATGACAGGGAGGAGTTTGATCAGGAGGAGTGGGAGGATTTGGTCATGTGGAAGGGGCTGTATGACGATAGTGATGACGAATGATTGGGCGAGTGGGGCTGGTGGGGTTGGTAGGGAAGGGGGTGGGTGGATGGATGGGCAGTGAGTGAGTGCGAAGGCCTGATGAGCGGCGGGCATCGTTCGATTGTCGAGATCAAAATGAAATGAGATATTTTTGCAATGTCGTGAGCGGAGGAGGTTACATGCCGGGATCGAAGGATCCATAGAGTCAAGACATGTGAACGGTAACAAGAGAAAGAAGGAGCATAAAGACGATTTTCTACTTTGGGAGACAAAAGGACCAATCATGACATGGCCACGAGCAGAATCTCATCACCCTCCTAGACACGCACACTCGTATCGAACTCCGCGCCACCTACAATGGCCACCGAGACTTCGTTGCTTCTCTGTCCGGATGACAGCATCAGCTATTCTTTACATCACAAAAACTTCCACCTGGTACTCTCGTGCTCTATTTGCAGAGCATAATATGAGAGAAAAGAAAAGAAATGTAACTACATACAATACAATACATCCATCATCCCGTTCTTTTTTTTTTTTTTAAATTACACCAACACAACTCCGGATGCGAACTCGACCTTTTTCCTCCCCCGCTGTACCTACTATAAATCACTCATCCTCATCATCATCACAACGCCGCCATCCCCACCGCCACCAACCCCGCCACAATCAACAACGACAACGACAACGACACGGACCCACCCCCACCCGCCGCCGCGCCCGTCGAGTCTCCACCACCGCCGCTACTGTCGCCGTCGCTGTCGCCATCCGCAGCAGCAGCAGTAGTATCAGAAGTCCCGTTACCACTCGCCGTGCGCAGCCGTCGGACGACGCTCGCATTGACCCCAGCACCACCACGACCATCGCCCACGACAACAAAGCCGCTCTGCAGCGCTTCCAGCGCCGCGAGCTGCTGCCCTAGGCCGTGGCAGGAGACGCTGCTGCTGCTGACGTCCTCGCTGGTTGTGGTATTGGTTGTGGTATTGGTGGTGGTATTGTTGCAGAGAGGTGTGATAGCGGCGGCGGTGGCGGAGAGGGCGGCGGCGATGGCGGGGGAGAGGTGGGGTTGGAACAGGGGGATGAGGGAGAGGTGGTGGAGGGCGGAGGCGGTGGAGCCGGCGTGGGTGGAGTCGGTGCAGTCGTCGCTTCCAGGCGGCGAACCGGTCGTCTCATGGCAGGAGGGTTCGGTGATGGTGTTGTTGGCTGAGGGGGGGAAGAAGGTGGCGAGGAGGGTGGAGACGTGGGAGGTGGTGCGGTTGGACCAGGTGGTGGAGGAAGTCTGCGGGAGGGGAGGTTGGATGGTTAGTTTTGAGGTTTTTCTTTTTTTTTCTTTTTTTTGGAGGTGGGATGCGAGAGACGACGGGGTAGTGAAAAAGAGGTGATGATGGCGTCGCCATAGTCTGGATAGGGAGAGCATCGGCAGGTAGGAGACTTACGATGTTTGCTAGGATGGCACAGCCATAGGCAATGGATGCGGCGGGCTCTGACCACTGTTCGTGGGAGACGATAGAGCAGTTGCTCGATGCGTTTGCGTGGCTGAAGACTCGGGAATCTTTGTCGATCAGCTCCGTCGCGAGCATCCAGTCATAGGCCCGCGCTGCCCAGTCAGCATAAGTGTGGTTGCCGGTGAAGCGGGCCAGGCGGGCAGCCAGCTGGAAGAAGCTGGCCTGGGTAAAGGTATCCTTGCTGTCGTAGCCGTCGCTAAAAGTAAAGATTGCTTCACGCATGCCGCCACCGCAGGTCTTCTCGTCCCAGCGGGGGACTTGGACTTCGAAGACAGCACTTGCCAGCTTCTCCCACGTCGGCTTGTCGCTAACAGCAGGCAGTCCACGCTCTGCAGCTGACAGGGCAGTGAGAGCCCACCTGGCTTGCCCGTGGTTCGTGAGTGTTAACGATTGGTTGGGCGGCATGTAGTCGTCATCCGGCCCCATCTGGCCGAGCAGTGCGGCTTGCACGGCGGCATTGTGCGATGCGTCGCCCGTCAGGTACCAGTATTCCAACAAGGAGTCCCACGCGGTAGCCGACTCCTCCCAGGTATAGGGGTCGGGGAAGTTGCCAATACCGCCGTAATCCTCTACATCAAAGTCGATGACGCCGGTAGCAATCTGCTTCACAGCGGAACTGAGAGCATCTAGTGACTTGTTAGTGGCAGAGATTCTTCCTTGGTTTCTCTCAAACTGACCAGGATCATTGACGGGATAATCAAGAGCTGTTGCAGAGTTGATGGCCAAGAAGGCCGAGGCCAGGGCGGCGAGGCGTGACGTGTGATTGAGCATGGTCGATGGTCAGACTGAAGGCTCAATGGCGCGCGAACCGGGGCTTATGTATAGCATTGGGATTGCCGCTATGGGAGGCTGTGCGCAGGATTACCGTAATCTCCAACACGCCGTTCGAATCCTTCGAGCGGGCCTTTGTGGGGGCGGAACTGGGCGTTTGGCCAACTCCATGGCGGCTGGCAAGAGCAGCGTGAGATGGCAATCTAAGGCTTGCACCTCGTCCGCCGATTGCAATCCCACCAACCGATGCTGGGACGAGCACGTGTGCAATGTTGGCGGACGATGGATTCGCAATCCGCCCTTACAGCCATGTAGCGGCTATGGACTTGGCATTTCCCTTTTGGGCAAGTCGCTATGCCAGAACCTCGGTGGGTCTCCCATGCGCCATGTGCTGCTGCTCAGCGATCATGCCAGATGACAGGATGCATAGTGTTCGTTCTTCTCGCGCAGCTGGGCTCGCTTCGGCGGCGTGGCTAATCTGTTTTTTGGGCTCCCACGCGCACCGCCTTTTTGTTCTTTTCAACCATTCTTTTGGTGAGTGTCAGACTGGCACCATGGATACGAGCCCTGCCAGCTTCCGCTTCTCGTTACGCCACTACACGTATGACGCGCATGGAGTCGACCACCATCTCGAAGTGGCGTTAGAAACGATGACTTCATTGGAGAATCTCCAGTACCCACACTCGCAGCGCAGCGACAGGTATCCCCGAAGCTAGTGCAAAGCTTGGCGGGCGAGAAAGCTTGAGTCGTGGCATTTACCGCCATCTCCACATGCTGGGAAAAAAGAGTAATTTTGCCGGTGGGTCTTTCGTAACCCTAAGAAGCTCCTCGAAGCTTCCAGTATCCGTCGTGTAGAATAGAAAAAGGCGGGCAAAGAAGAGCAAGGCGGGAAAAAATGAACAAGTTACATGATTGCGTTTAGGGCTAGCTTCAAGTGATGTTCAAAGAACGGTGCAAAACAAAGGGGGCATGCTTTGGGTCTCGCTTACGTACGAGGAAGCGATAAGCATGGGAAAATGATCCGATAAGGATGGGAAAGCTTGGAAACCCCATTTTCAGAAGCATGTGGGGTTTGCGCAAACTGCTTCCCGCAGGTTGCTTATCGCAAACCCACGAATTGGAGGATGCCATGGAAGCATGGTCAAGGCCAGCTGAGATACAGGCCTAGGCGGAGCAACCATCGTCTGCCTCCACCGCCATCTAGAATCGGTCAATCTCGAAAGTGAACAGAAATTCGAAGTGAGTCGAGTATGTCGATCCGTAGTACTTGACTGATCTCCTCGAGTTTGGCGACACGCTGAGAGTCCATAGTAATGAAGAGAAGGCGCTTTACCTGGAACGAACTTAGCCATGTCAACGCTGAGCACGCATGTAGCTGCCGATGAAAATAATCGGAGCCGAAGAGGGACTGTAGACTGGCCATCCATCTCCTCAGCGGGACCAACATGAACATCAGTTGCAAAGAGTTGAGCTGCGTCGTCGCTACGCGTTGCATAGGATTCCAACTGTCTGAGATGTTACCGTAGCATAGTGCATGAAGACGTGAAGGGTACGCTGATTCCCGCGAACCGAGCAGTCAGCGCCATGGCTTGTGTCATCCATTTGATTGGACATCATCTGGTCATTGCGCCGTGTTGGTAGAGAGGCCGGGTGGTCCGATTGGTTGCAGTGCATGACAGGGACCAGGGGCACAGTTTGATCATCGCGAGATCTCGGGCATTGGTAATGGAATGGGATCGAGTTGCGCTTTCACGTGCCTTTGAAGGCTGCATCTTCTTTACAAGAACGGGGAGAGCATCTGGACTCCAATATCCTTCTCCAACAGACATCGGCTGATAGCTCCTTTGTCGAACTCAACCTGTACCTGCTCATATAATGCTTCTTCCGTTGAGATCTAAGGCCACGTGGTCAGTTGCACAAGGAGGTCGGGCCAAGCGCGAGACAGAGTCCTAGCCATCGGAACGGACGCTGCGATCGAACATTGAGGCTCAAGGCTATCCTGAAAAGGACCATTTGGGGTGAAAAGTGAACCATGATGGACCGGTCTGGCCCACAGAGTAAGGCGCAGACACACCCGGGGCCTGAGGAAGTAGGGCCGATTCGTGCAATGCTTTGTGAAGGTGTTGAGTATGCAATGGCGGCGGCGGACAATTTTAACAGCCATCGAAGTAGAGCGGAGGGCACGCGTCATCGGCGACGGCTGACGGCTGGCGTTGCAGCGAGACCGGCATGGCCATCGTACGACTGCCGTCCTGTCTTTGCGCTGCGAGGCCGCATTTGCTGCTCACTGAGCCTAATCGAGATCAGATAGCCGGAGGGGGCGCGGAATCACGGAACTCGCGCGTTACGCTTGACCCGCGCAGCGGTACGGTCTGCACATCCGGCATGCGCGATTGGAACAGGAGGATCGGCTGGATCTGAGTGGCAGGCGGGCTGCATGCTCCAGCGGACAGCAGCCGTGGATGCAGGAGCAAGGCAGGCTCGGGGGCGACAAGAGAAAGCGACCCACCCACAAGGGCAGCGGAACCGTATATCTGGATGCATCTGTACCGCATCTGCATCCGGATGACGAAGAAAGGTGGTTTGAACCAGGGCGGGGAGTGCGGTGGGAGGGCGGGAGAGTCAGGACGCAGGCCAAGCTCAGCGCGGACAAGGGGTCGGTGATGGCAAAGTGGATCCGGTGATGGGAAAGTGAGTGATGGCGATCGTGTCTTCAGAGCAAATCGAGCGACGCGCAGCGCGGTGGTTGTCGCGACGCGGGCACGGGCCTGCCGAGCGAAGCGGCAGAGCCAGGCGGAGCGCCCGCAACCACGCCCGCCCGCCGCGAGAGACTGTCAACGGCCCTCTTTTTTCTTGCGCCCTGCCCGACTGGACCTAGCCTCGCCTCAGGCCCTCTGCGACGCCGTTGCGTCCTCCCGCGCCAAAGCCTGCCTCTAGTCGCCAGCCTCCAAACCCCCAGTCCGTGCCAGAGCCCAGGCTCCCACATGCACCTCTACCTACACCCAGTCCCCAAGACATCATCGCCAGCCTTATCCTGCCCGCTGCACCGCGCCGCGCCCGCAAGCCGCCTCAACGCCTTGACACGCCCGCACCCGCTCCCGCGCCCGCACAATCACCCGCTTTCTTTATCCCGGCCCGCCTGCCTTTGACCGCGGAAAACATCTGCAATTGACGGGCCGCTTCGCACAAGCCCCGCAGCCCTACAAGACCGCGACCGTTGCCGCCTCTACGCACTGCACCCGCCACGCTCACCCACGGTCCTGCGCTGCGCTCTCGCTCCAGCAATCCGTCCCCGCCCGGCCAGCTTGACGTCACTTCGCGTGGACCGCCCCCCCGTCTGATACGCGCGCTTGGCTGGCTTTTCACCACCGACTCGGCCTGGGCCAGGGCCTCACTGCACACGCAGTTGCATCCAGCCCGCCACCTGCCCTTCGATGCAAAGGCCCATTCCCACTCGCAAGCGACCCGCTCCCGGCGCCTCCCCGATGGTGAACCAACAGACTTCAGCGGGGAACGGCATGGGCTTGGCTCCGCACTCGCAGGATGCGCAGTCGTACTCCAATGATCAATTCATGTCCAACTGGGCTGACCCCGCTGCCATGAACGCCGTTCCTGGCTACACCGACCCCCCGCTCTACGACCCGAACGTCATTGCGAGCCTCCAGAATGGCATGTCGTACACCAACGGCCAGCGGCTTCCCGCGGACCAGGCCGCGAACACCCAACTCGTCCGTCGCAGCAACAACCACCAGCTCACGTCGCGGGACTACGGCGGATACAACCCGGTGGCTCAGAATGCGTGGGAGAACGAAGATGACGAAGATCTGGAGGCGCAAGCTATGAGGGCTCGCAAGGAAGCCCAGGCGAAAAGGAAGCAGATTCCGCCGTTTGTGCAGAAGCTCAGCAGGTAAGTTTGGCCCCCCGTATGCTCCGGAATGGGCGACATTGAGCGCAGCACTCACACATGGCCTAGTTTTCTGGACAACTCGAATCACACTACCCTCATCCGGTGGTCTGACGACGGCAACTCGTTCATCGTGCTTGACGAAGACGAATTCGCCAAGACGCTAATCCCCGAGCTCTTCAAACACAACAATTACGCCTCGTTCGTGAGGCAGCTGAATATGTACGGTTTTCACAAGAAGGTCGGCCTGTCGGACAACTCCATGAAGCAGGCCGAGCGCCGCGACAAAAAGACCCCAAGCGAATACTTCAACAAGTATTTCAAGCGCGGAAGGCCCGAGCTTCTTTGGCTCATCCAGAAGCCGAAGAACCCCCAGTCAAACTCGAAGAGGAAGAGGGACGATGACAAAAAGCACGACAGCGATGACGACACGCGGAAAGAAGCAGACGGTGGCGGCGAAGGCTCGGCCAACGACATGCAGCTCATCTCCAAGGGCGACTACAGCACCATGCGCAACGAGATCCGGCAACTGCAGCAACAGCAGAAGCTGATATCCGGCATCATCCAGCAAATGCGTCGTCAGAACGAGCAATGGTATCAGCAGGCCAGCCAATTCCAGAAAATGCACGAGCGCCACGAGAGTTCCATCAACGCCATTCTTACCTTCCTGGCGACCTTCTACAACCGGAGCCTTGAGGGTCAGAACGGCGGCGTCAACATGAATCTAACAGACATGTTCCCTTCGTCGATGTCTCAGAATGGCCAGAATCAGGGCAGCGTTGTAGACATGGGCGACTTCCCAGATGTGGATATGGCGTCAAAAAAATCCCCGGGGCCCCGTCCCAACAAACGGCCTCTGGCCCTGCTGCCGCCTCCCATGACAAGGGACGCCAGGTCTCCAAGCCCGCTTGTTGCGACTCAGAGCCCGGAATCATCGCACGCCGGCATCGGTTCCAGGGGCCATACGCGGTCACAGAGCTTCCAACCCCCGCAGCGGCAGCGGCAGCCAAGGCCGCGGAACCTGAGTACCAGCCCGCAAACGCCGGCTGAGCACAATTTCACATCGGCAGCTGCCAGCCCAGCCGTCAAATCCGAGAAATCTCCGGGAGTACAACTGCCAGACAACACGGAAGACATGATGTCAGTCATCAACTCTGTCAACGCGAACTCCAACACGGCTGCAACGGGCCCGCAACTTGACTTTGGTGCAGCCCTGTCTCATTTCCAAACGGCAGACGGCAACACGCCCCTGACCCAGCAGCAGCGTGAGGACATGCTTTCCTTGATGAACGCAGCCACTCCCGCACCTGACGGTGAACCCAAAGGTGGCAACAACGCGCTGATTAACCCTCAGCCGCCGCCTATGCCGACTCTTGAGCACTTTGGAGCTCATCAAGAGCAGCTGGATATGCTTCAGCGCTTGCAGGAAGAGCAGGCGGCTCGCGTGCAGAACCTCTCGGACCGGCTAGCCCCCATCAGCCCCGGGGGCTCGATACCTGGGATGACGTCTTTCCCCAACTACGGCAATCATCCGAATGCCCCATCCAGTGACTTTGACATTGGCTCATTCATTCACACGGATGGCGACAATTACTTCACAGACACTGCTCCAGGCGCAACCGGCACGCATGACGACCATATGGCATCACTCCCCACCGACAGCGACTTTAATTTTGATTTCGGCAATGTCGACAACAACATGAGTTTCTCACCCGCAAATCCCGGCCATAGCCTGTTCGACAATGACGGCGCGAGCGATGGAGCGGAGAATGGAGGGGGCCGCATCGTAGAGAGTATTTCCAGCAGCGGACCGAACAGCCCAGCCGAAAATGGCGACAAAAGTGGTCTCAGCAAGCCGAGATCTCCCCGTAAGAAGAGGAAGACTGGTTGACTCGACGACAACCCTGGCACTCGTTGTTGCGAATGACGAATCACGGCAGCAGGCTTTCGCTTGGACGGAGCTCTTCGCAGCATTTTGACAAGCAAATATCGGCGTAATATGGTGTAGAGTGAGTTTTGGAGTACACAGGGCTCGGTACAAGCAAAAGTTTCCTTGGAGCGTATGATTCACTTTTCTTCTTCGGACACGGAGGTTCAGTCGTTACCTGGCATTTGATCCCTATCAAATGGACGGTTTCCACCTGTTGGCGTATTGCTGGAAATTTTCTCTTTATCAAGTTTGAAGAAAGAAAACAGTTCTTCCTGGCTTGCCGTTGCGGATGACCAAAGAAAAAACTCTTACAACTCAGATTTTCCTTATCACTTTCTTGTAGCCAAAAGACCAGGTAGTTCCATTCTCCATCGTCTCCTCCCGCCCTTTCTTTTTTTCCCTATATTCTTTAGTGTGTAGGCGTTGTTACAGTTGCTTTCTTTCTTCTGGCGGGAGATTGGGGGAGGCTTTGGTTTTCTTGATTGAGGGCGCCAGGAGTCTCTTGTGAAAAAAATAAGAAACTCCCAAGAGTCACTGAAAAGGAACCAGGTATGTATGACACAACCCGGCAGAGCAGACCAGGTATCCTATACTGTTTTTTTTTTTTTTCTGTGGTGAGAATTTGGAGGGAAACGGAGAGTGCAGTACCAATGAGCCCGGATGCGGTGCATCGTTGAAGGGGCTTGATGAGTTACGATGCCTCGATGTCTTTTCAAGCTTATGGAATACTTGCTTCTAGAACTGTATTCGCTCAGATTCCTTATCCTCTCCCTGAAGGGGCTTGAAGTCCTCTGACTCGTACTTTTATATCTACTGTAGAGGAAATGACTTCAAGATGGATCACCACAGTTCTTTGTGTTTGAAGCGTACGGCGGCACAGTGGGTGATGAAGGAAATTAACCTATCTACGAAGAAAGGCGTTGGAATGTACCTTCGTCACCCACTGTGGCGGAAAGATTGGTCGTGAAGTACCTAGGTGCGGAAGGGTCGTTCGGGCCCCCGAGCTCCGTCTGGACTGTGGAGGATCTGCACCAGGAACAGCAAAGAGGCAGCAGAGTCTAATGCCGCCGCATTCCAGGACGCGTCGGGGGACTCTTGTGCAGATTCCGCCCTGGCCCTAGCCTTCGGTCTGGCGACGTCGGAAGATGTGTCGGGAAATGCAGGGCGGCTGAATAATCTCGGGTTCGCGGCAGGGAATGACATTTCCGCCCTGTCTGCAGCCGCTCACTCCACCCAGCCATCTGTCGCCGTTTCAGCTCCAGCAAAACGCGCTCCTTGCCTGTTGTGGCTCCGCTTTGTACAGCACACTCAAGCCACAACCGCGCCCAGAGGCTAATGACTCGCAGCAAGTCACGTCGCAGAGAGCGAGTCAGCTAGTCATCCCCACCCTCCGTCCCAACTGCAGCAACCTCTTCCTTTGGTGGCCACGGTTGTCCGCTGGTCGCAGCCGTCGCGCCAGCCCCTCTACCCGCCGCAGCGCCCCTTTCCTTTTTGTCGGCGCAGGGTTGCTTCGGCGGCTGCAGTGGCTTGGGGGGCTAGCCGCAGAAGGGAATGTAGACGAACGGGCGGCTAAGGTCTGAAACATGCCTGTACTACGACCGAGAAAAAGGCGTCGCATCCATAGCCTGTCGCGCTCTCTCAGCTAGGCTCTGATGATTGCGATCTGCGATCTGCCAGTTGCACCTTCCTCGCCCGGCGATGCGCGACCTCCAGATGGCGCCGCGAGGGAGCGTGGCCGTCGCCGCTGCCGCCCGAGTGCGCGACTGCCGCAAATGGCAGCACCACATTCCCCAGACCGCCGACGTCATGTGCCTGTGCTCTCGACACACCGTCGCGCAGAGAGTCCAGTTTGTTGGACTGACCTCGTGCCCTTCCATCTGCTCATGTTTGCTGCCACCCGCCCCCGCGACTCCATCCCCCAACCACCAACACCACCTCCACCCTCGAGCCGGCCGAGGCCGCCATCCTCACCCTCCGTCCGCCCTCGAATCGCCCGCATGCCGTGAACAACCTCAGCCATGTGTGCCGTCATGCTGCTCCTTTCGGCCACTCTGTTCGCGCTTGCCGCCCGCCAGGGCCTCGTCCGCGCCGCCGATACCTGCTACTACCCCGATGGGAGCGTCGCCGACAAGGACACCCCGTGCGCCTCTTCCGGCTCCGCCGTCGCCTGCTGCCCCTATGGCTGGACCTGTCTTGATACTGGCATCTGCGCTCTGAGCTCTCTGGACTATATCACCCGGTACACCTGCACAGACCAGTCGTGGGATTCTTCAGCCTGTCCTCAGTATTGCCTTGAAGGTATGTCATTCTGGTCCTGCGCGCGCCACTTACTCAAGCAAACTTATTTACTGGCGCGAAGCCTAGGCGATACCCGTGCTGATTTGAGACAGGCACTCCTAATGGCACCGATACGGGCAATGTCGCCCTGCTCGAGTGCAGCGACAATCAGTATTGTTGCAATGGTGACAGGAGCGGGTAAGCATCCGCTTTGCGCTACGCTTGTAATGGGGTCAACGACTGATTCATGATAGGAACTGCTGCAAGGACAAGGCTGTGTCATTATTTGGCATTTCCCCCGGTATGCCTCCATGGACATTTACTCCTCCCGATACCTCACAAAGACCGCTACTTCTAAAGATGTGGGAGAGAATGGCTTTTTGACTGATCGTGAACCGCAAATGGCTACAGATCTGGAACCAATCACCACAATGGAATCAGCCATGATTCCAAGCGCATTTTCAACCTTGTCTTGGAGCGACCCTACATCCACATCGGGAGCCGAACCAAGCTCCTCAGAAGAGCCGGTATCCACGCGCGGTGGCACCTCTACATTGTCAAAAGCAACATCCCGGTCCTCTGATGCACCTCCCACTGCAGTAATCACTTCGATTGTGGCAAATCCCACTAATGGCGCTCCTTCGACCGTATACCTTACGAGGACTGCTGCTGCTTCGACACAGACATCTTCGAGCCAAAGTTCAGCTCCATCGTCATCATCCCACAAGGGTGTTATCGTCGGCTGCGCCGTCGGCATTCCAGTTTCAGCCGCACTCATCGCCATCATAGCCATCCTGCTTCACCGTAAACGCCGCCGACGGAGAAGCAAAAATCCCCGCAGCCTCCTTCCGCCCTTTTCCACCAACCCTGAGGAAACCGAAAAGAATCCGCGTATTTCGGAGCTGGATGGGTATCCTCGTGCTACCGGCGGCAGCATAGCGCCGCATCGTTCGAGTGGAGTTTTTGAGCACTATGTCGGCAAAAGCAGTAGAGGTCATGCTCGTGCTGCCAGCGAAGTCGACGGCACTCCCATTTCCGCCAGAGAAAAGCCGCCAGCGGAACTAGAATCCCCGAGAAATTCAAAAGCGCCGCCCGTGGAGTTGGAGGCCACTGAAGCAAGAGCAGGTGGAGGTTACTTTAGGATATCTCCTGTGATTGGTGGAACTGCGGGAAGCAGTCCAGACCCAGGCAGGGGGTATGCGGTAGGAGGTGTCGCGCCGCCGGGAGGGTTGAGAATCGTGAATGCCGTGGAGGGTGAGCTGGACAGTGAAGTCGAAAGTGAGGCAGAAAGAAGAGCAAGCGCTGCTGGACACTCCAGAGGCTCAGATATGCGGCTCAAGAGCCCGCCGCCGGTGTATCAGAGTCCGAGGACTTGGAGACAAACTAGGGGGAGCTCACCAGCGGAAAGCAGCGATGGAGCGGCGAGAGCGGCGGGCGCGGCGTCGGCGGGTTTCGGCAGCCCCGTCAGCCCCCTGCAAAGTCACGGCTGGGGAAGATAATACATCGTGTCTTCAAGGACGGGGTAAGGTTTACGGAAGGAATAATGAGGGTAACGGTCCACATTGCTGGTTTAAAGTCCAGAGAGTCGCTGTTGAGCAAACAAACGGCCGCACGGTGGGACATTGCACATTGGCAGCTTCCATCTGTTTTCCGGGAGATTTCCCACCCTTTTTCACTTCACATCTTTCTTGCTCGCCGACCGGCTCCTGTATACCAATTGCGAGAATAGCCTTCTGTTTTCTGCTCCTCTTTTGAGCGATTTTAGCATAGCGACGGACAGTCTTCGCTTCTCACGAATTATGAAAAACAGCTGGCAGGCGCACCTTGAGCGCTATTGCAGCGAGGGAAAGGAAATTAATAGTCAAATAATGAGAAATCTTTCAATAATTGGTTTCAATCATTACCTCGACCAGTCGTATGTACTTTTCATGCCCTGTAATGGGGCATTTCTTAAGAGGTTGAATCCTCCGCTATGAACGATTACAACTCAACCCAGCGCCATAGTTGAACAGCATCAAACCCAGCCTGATATAGTGATTCCTTACATGCCCATGCATTTCGTTTCGTTACAGTAAATTCAAATTTTTCTTTTCTTCCATCAAGTTCTCCCGCCCCCCACCAAGCCTCTCAGGTCAGGCAGACAGAACAAGCGGTTTCCACACACACCAAAAGATTATCATCATCTCATCACAAAAAGTCCACGACCCGCTCCCAGCCGGCGGCGGCCTCGCCCACCCGCCTGAACTCGACGCCCTCGCCAAAATACCCCGCGTCGCCCCACGCCTTCATCGTCCGCCCGTCATAGGGCCCGTGCCTCTCGCCGCCGTCCCGCGCGTCCGCCCACCTGTACTCCCACATTCTGGTTTCCCCCTCGGCGTCGGCGTCGGGGGCTTCTTCTTCCTCCTCCTTCTCTTTCTCCTCCTTCTTTGGCGGGTCCACCCAGTCGTCGCCCGTCTCGCGCCGGTACTGCCGCACCAGCGCCTCGCGCTCCTGGTCGTAGATGTCCGTCTGGCCGCGCGTGAGCAGCTGGTCGGCGGCGCCGGTGAGGGCCTCGACGGCGTCGCGGCGACGGCGCTCGGCGGGGTCTTCTTTCTGGGCGGCGGCGGCGGGGTCGACGTCCATGGCGTCCTCGCCATTGTTTGTCGGCGCCGCCGCGGGCTGCTTCCGCTTGTTCTTCTGCTGCCACTTCGGTCTGGGCTTGGGCTTGTTCTTCTTCTTGCCGGTGCCGAGGCGCGCGAGGGCCTCGAGCACGGTCTCGGCGCGGTCGAGGCGGACGATGAGGGCGGCGAGGAGCTCGCTGGTGAGGACCTGGTCGTCGGCGACGGCGCGGCGGCGGCGCTCCTCCTCGCGCTTTTCCTCGGCCGCCCTGGCCTTCTTCATGTCCTTTTTCGACAGCCCTTCCAGCCACGTGTCGTGCACGGCGTCCGGGTCGTTGGCCTTGCGGACGTAGTTGCCCTGGTCGTCGAAGCGGCCCTCTTCGTTCTCGGCCTTCATGTTGAAGGCGTCGAGCTTGGGGGCGTGCTTCTTTTTGGCGCCCGCGCCGAGCTCCTCGTCCATGTCGCTGTCGACGCGGTCGCGCTGCTCGTCGTCGCCGCCGCTCTCGTCGTCGCTGCTGCTGTCGTCGTCGTCGTCGTCGGAGCCGCGTTTCACCTTGCCTTTGCCCTTCGCACCGCCGCCGCCGCCGCCGCCCAGGGAGAAGTCGGCCGACACGTGCCCGCCCGACTTGCTGTCCGCGACCTGCCCCTCGATCTGGTTGTCGTCCAGGAAGGTGACGCTCTTCTTCTTGGCCTTGCCGCCCTCGCGACCCAGCTCCTCGTCGTCGTCGCCGTCCTTGAAGTCGTCCTCCAGGTCCGCGAACATGTCGGCGTCGTCGGCGTCCTTGCTCTGCTGCTCCGCCGCCTTGGCCGCGCGCGCCTTCTCCTCGGCGCGCGCGTCGAAGTTCTCCTCGCTCGAGTCGGAGTCGTAGCCGTCGATCTTGACGGCGTTGCGCTTCACCTGCCGCTGCGCCTTGCCGATCTCGTCGGCCTCGAGGATGGCGTCGTCTTCGGGCGCGTCGGCGGCCAGCGTCGACGGGTTGCGGTAGTCGAAGCGGGGCTTCTTGTTCGAGGCGTCGGCGGAGGAGGCGCCATCGCTGGGGAAGGGCAGGTCCGGGGCGCGTTTGGGGCGCGATGCGGACATTTTTTTTTCCCCCCAGTTCGTTCTTTCGTTCGGCGGTCGGTTGTTTGTTTGCGGGGGGAGGAGGGCAATTGGCGACGGATTCGCGACGGCGAGTTGCGGGTTCTGGGATGGGAACGGTGGCGACGGATGGCGAATGTTTGGCGATTGGGGTGCGGGTGTATAGTTTGAAGCGGGGGTGTTGTGGGAGTGCTGCTGCTGGGCGGGAAAGGGCTGAGAGGTCGGGCGGCTTTTCGCGAGCTGCGTCATCCCGAAAGCTCAAGCACAGCTCACCCGCGGCTCGCAAGTCAATAATACATACCTAGCTCAACCCACGCCCGACAACTCCGCCGTAGACACTGCTCGCACCTTCACCCGCTCACGCCTGCTGCCACATTCACAACCTACTGCCGTCTGCTTAAGGAGCACCCCCACCGCCACCATGGTACGTACACCCCATCCGCGCCTTCTCGCCGCCCACCAGCTTCAACCGCCCGCCCCGCTAACAGCACGCGACACGCTCGCACGCAGTTCGGCGGCAACTACTACGACAACGACGATCCGATGGCCATGTACCAGGCGGCCATGGGCATGCGCAGCGGCGGCCAGCCCCGGCGTTTCGACGAGTACTTCCGCTGCTACCCCGTCGTCATGATGCCCGGCCCGGAGCGCACTGAAGCCAACCACGGCGGCAAGGTCTTCATGCCGCCCTCGGCCCTCGACAAGCTGACGCGCCTGCACATCACCTACCCCATGCTGTTCGAGCTGATCAACGGCACCGCCCAGAAGCGGACCCACGCCGGCGTGCTGGAGTTCACCGCCGAGGAGGGCAAGATATACCTGCCGTACTGGGTGCGTACACAAACAACAAGAGGAAGAAGGGAGAACCACCAGCCTCGCTGACATAACGCATACGTAGCTCATGCAAACGCTCGAAATGGAGCCGGGCGACCTGGTCCAAGTCAAGTCGACGGACCTGCCGCTGGGCAACTTCATCAAGCTGCAGCCGCAGTCGTCCGACTTCCTCGACATCTCGGACCCCAAGGCCGTCCTGGAACAGGCCTTCCGCAACTTCTCCTGCCTCACCCTCGGCGACGTCTTCACCTTCGCCTACAACGACCAGGTCTACAGCATCGCCGTCCTGGAAGTCAAGCCCGACCAGGCCTCCCACGCCATCTGCACGCTGGAAACCGACCTGTCCGTCGACTTCGCCCCGCCCGTCGGCTACGAGGAGCCTCAGCGCGCCGCCGCCGGTGCAAGCGGCACCAGCACCCCGCGCAGCATCCAGGCCGGCGGGGGCGCGACGCTACCGGGCGGCGGCACGCTGCACCCGCACGGCAGCATGGCGCAGGCCATCAACTACGCGGCCATCGCGCCGTCGGCGTCGACGGCCGCCGCCGGCGCCCGCGCCGTCTCGTCCAACTTTTTGTCCGGCGGCCACAAGCTGTCGTCGTCGAAGCGCGGCAGCAAGGCGCCCACGCCCAAGCCCTCGACCCCCGTCGCCGGCGCGTCGTCGGCCACCACCGTCGGCAGCGACCCGGCGCCCGTGGTTCGCCGCGGCAACGCGAACGGCCCGCAGCCGCTGCGGTTGCCGCCCGGGAAGCTGTTTTTCGGGTACGAGATCAAGCCTGTGAAGGGGAAGAAGAAGGATGGGGCGGGTGGTGGTGATGACGACGACGGCGACGACGACAGTAAGCCGCATTTCCAGGGACAGGGGCAGACGTTGAGGGGGAAGAAGAAGACATGAGAATAGAAGAGGAGGTTCGGATCGGACGCAGCAAGAAGATCGATCCCTCTATTTCATGCACTTTTCATCATGGCTCTCAACTGGTTTCCTTTTTATTTTGTTTCTTTTTTTGCGGGTGGGGTCCGACACTTTTCCTATATCCTCTTTTCCTGCCTTTAGAGTGAGTGGGCTTGTGACGAGACATTTCGTTGTTCGATTGGTTTTTTTTTTTAACTTTTATCTCTCCACCTAGTCTTTTTTTTTTCTTTCTTTTCCTTTCTCCGTCTTGACGCGTGGCATGACCGAATGGCATAGCTGGGGTTTATTATGCCGTCCGCTAGAACCCTCGTAACTGCTTCAATTTGTTTGTTTTTTCTTTCCTCCCCACGTCTTGGTAAGCTGCTTGCCATGACGGAAGAGGGTTTTGATAGGTGACCGACATGGAAGGTGGACGGGATCGATGAAATGGTGCAAGTATGGCGAAGAGGGGAGGACGATGGGGCAACGTCAGCAAGGAGGAAACTCTTTGCTTGCGCGGGGGGGAGAAGAAATAGATATGAATGGCTAGCTATGCATAAAAGGCCTCCTGCAGGAGCGTGGACTGGCGTGACGTCGTGGTGTAATACTGCAGGTTGAAACGTTTGAGAAATGTTGGAGCATGATCTTCTGGCTTCCTTATTCGTCTGCTATCCGATCCGTTTGCTACTCGATATACTTCTTTTTCTCTAAGACATAGCTAGATACGTCTGGAGGGTGAGTAGTCACGTTGTAAGCGTGCATCGAAGAGGGGTGTGGCAAAGATTTAAACACGTGAAGGAAGGAGCTCTAGAGGACATTCGTGTTTCTGCTGAAAGAGAAAAAAAAAAAGAAATAATTGGAGATGGCGCTGTGCTTGTTGGGGTTGGTGATGGTGGTGTTCTTTTGCCGCCGATTATTCCAAGCATCATCATAATATCGTGTGTATGCACGACTTACCTTACTTACCGCATCTACTTATCAAACCACCGCGGCATGCTAGCAACTCTTGCTTCTCGTTACGCACTCTACGTTCGTTGCTTTATTCCGTCCATCTTCAGTTACAGGCCGGTGCTACCTGTTTTCCTTTTTTTTTTTTAAAAAAAAAAAGGGAAGGAATACCATGCCGCAGACAGAGATTATCTACGCCAATATGCTATGCTAAATCTTATCATCTATTAAAGCATTCATTCATTCATTCATTCATCAACATCAAAACTATCGTTACCGGACTCCACCCTTCTCGTCGCCTCAAGCATCATATATATAAACGGCCGAGTCGAAGAAGCCACAACAGCAGAGGAACGACAAAACTACACAATCAGCATGCGATAATATATCCTCGTCCATTCCGTCTAAAAGATAAAAATAAACAACAACAGATACTTCTAGAGCTTCATAATCACGAGTGCGCCACCGCGCACAGCATCCGTATACATAGCCAAGTCAGAAAGGAGACATTAAAAGAGGAAAATAATCAATCTTATTATTTCTGCGCTATATACTACTCTCTACATACCTACCCCTCCATATTAACCACATCCCAGCCGAGCCAAGCTAAGTCCAGCCCGCCACCGAACCAAAAAAAAAAAAAAGGAAAAGACTTCCAAATTCCACCCACCCCTGCCCTTGACCACGGGAGAGACAGAATCAGATTGGAAGGCAAAAGAGAGACACCAAGAAGAGAGAAAGAGAAAAAAAAAGAGAACAGCACGAAGGACAAAATAATCAGACAAGCCTAAACAACCGAACAGCTTTACCACCGATCGACCCCCTCTCCTTGATCCACATCATAGCCTCCCCACCAACCTACCTGATACCAGCAGCGAACAAAGAAAAACGATTTACCAAGAGAGATATAACGAGAGATAGGACACCGGGAGATATTCAAACGGCCAGCCAGTCAAACGAAGAAGAAGCAGTGGTGGTAGGGGGGAAAAGGTAATAAGATATGAAGTCAGCAAAAACAAGTAAATTGACCAGCCTCATCCGATCTCAAACAAAAAAACTTCGCAAGGCAAGCATTTCCAAAACAAAACCAACGACGACAGGGGGAAAATCAAAGCAGATAGATAGCATGACGCGAGTATGAGATAAGAAAGAAAGCAATCACAGCATGCGAAAAAAAAGCTAGAATCAAAGATCACACAGAACAGGAAGAATACCACCGCGACAATAAGCAATCATCAGTACGAAACTATTACTTCACCCGGGGGTTAAGCCGAAATGGACTCTGCAACATCTAAGGGAGGAGTTGGTTGGCAGCGAAGAGGGTAGGTAGGTAGGTAGGTAGAACGACGACTTCAGAAAAAAAAAATTGAAGAAAGATTCGAACAACGACAACGCGGAGTAGTAGTAGTACCATGGCATAGTGGGTGGCGAAAGAAATTAAAACTACGACGATCCCTGGTGTGGGCGGCCAAGGCAAGTAGGTATACCGACGTAGATGTAGGCTTTAAACAAGCTTTCTTCACGGGTAGCCGAAGCAGATATCCGGGTGCAGATGCAAGTATTGGAACCATGCAAACGCATCCAGATCTACTGTGTACCACCCATGAGATAGATGTGGGTGGGCCGTTGTCTTTTTTTCGTCACCCACCGTGGTGGCACGCACATGATGATGGCAAACATGGAGACCACGGGTCTTGGCTCATGTGTGGGACCCACCCCATACCATGGTGCCATGGCACGCCACCGCCCCGCGGAAACCGGCAACATCCATCCTCGAACATCGGGAAAAACCCGGCCGCCCCACCTGCTAGGTGAAAAAAGAAAACACGGGAGCCACTAAGGGGGTTGGTTGGTGGAGGCGGCGCACACGCACACCGGGAGAGTCCGGCATGAAAATCCAGGGGTGATGTGGAGAGAGAAAGAGAGAGATATAGAGCAAAAAGAGGGAGACAGGAAGGAGATCGAAAGCAAAAAGTGCGGCAAATCGCGCCCATCCAAATTTAGGAATGGGGGGGACAGGGGAGAGATGTGGTAACGTGAAGATGCCCGCACAGGGAATAAGCTTTATTCGGTGGAGCCCGCGACCCTGAAAATAGCAGAACCTCATTTCGGGCAGCGGCATCTCACAGGTGGTTGAGCGAGCGTAAATCCGAAAAGAGACGGGGGTTATGTGTTCTCATCCCCTTTTCCCGACCCTCTTTGCTTGGTGCGTGCGTGGTGGAAAGTGGCCATCGTGGGCCGTCGTAGACATTAGAATGGCATCTTGATCGTGAAAGGCGTTAACGCGTTTCGTCTTGGACTCCGTATCTCGGAGAGGACAGGGCCGTGGATGCGCCGTGCTCGGCCCACCGCCTTCGTCAACGAGCCATGGGACATGCTGGGGCGAAACCAGAGCGGGGGGACGTTGATCTTTCAGTCGTTCATTACGCGAGTTGCAGTGGCAATCATCGCCACGCCCGAATTTCTCCGAGGTGCCCGTAAAGGAAGACGTGGACGGGAGGCGGAGATTCTTAAAAAAGTAGAGAGACTCGAGGAAAAATTGTGAGTGAGATAAACAGTAAATGGTTGCGTTCCCTGCCTTGATAATGCGCACCAATACTAAGCAGGGTAAAAACTAGCAAAAAAACGACAAGCCCAATCAAACTAAGAGGGATGGACGAACAAGACCGATCAATAATACAATGCAAGTTCCTGCCCGCCACGAAGGGGAAGGCATGGAATGAAACGGACCAGCGATGACTGAAGAAAGGCCACGAGTGATAAGAAATAGAAATAACGACGACGGCAGCGGCACCAGCGGCAGCAACGAGCATCCAAAATTTGAATCCAACACCCCCATAAATGCTTTTGTGTTCTCTTCGTCTCTTATCAGAAGGCAAGACAAGTACCCAAATCGTCACTAATTCTCTTTTTCGCGAATCCAGAGGAAAGGTTGGGGATATCGATCGAGTAAGGAAGGCGATGTGTGAGGAGCGTGAACCCCGTAATGTTAGTGGTCTACATTTCGTAGCATCATTCGTCGTATACGTCATGAAAGCCCCTTTCCCCTGGCGATTAAAGAATTGGGGCTTCTTGTTGGAATTTTTTCGGCCGTTCCTTCTTTAGTGCGTAGATGGGCGTGACGGGGTATGCTGCATTCACTCGACGACAATTTCGACGCCGGACTGCGACGAGAGCTCGTCGCTCCCGCGTCCGTGGTGACCGTTCTGTCTTCCGCGCGAGAATCCCGAGCCGCGCTCCGGGATGGGCCCGCGGGGCTGGCGGGTGGGGAGGCCCTGGCTGCGGTCGCGGCTCTGCTCGCCGTCGAAGTTATTACTGAAAGATCTGTGCCCGCCGATCGGGCCGGGGTTTCTGTCCGACTCCCACGAAACCATGCCGCGCAAGCCGCGGGGGCTGCCGCCCTGGCCGAATCCACCGCCCAAACTCATGCCGCTCAAGCCGTTGACGAGCAGGCTGTCGTCCCGGTTGGCCATGGAGGTCGCAGTCGGCGTGAGGCTCGGGTTCGTCGACGAGGTGCCGTAGTCCTGGTACCTGTTAATGTTCCCACCGAGCGTCGCCGGAAAGCTTGCAGTTGAAGGTACCGGAGATGGCGTATATGAGCGCAGATCAGCGTACGACTTGGCCGCCCTCAGGTTGGGGGCGGCGGTCAAGCCTCCGCCGGGCGAATCGGGGAAGCCGAGGAGGCCGGACGACTGGCGGCCGAGGGTGCCTCCGTAGAAGCCCTCGCGAACATCGCTGAAATCGGTCGTGGCGGCGCGGTTGAGACCGCGCCTTTGCGGATCGAGGGGGTGGCTGGTGGGCGCCATTTGCGACATCGGCGGACTCGTGTCCGGGGCGGGGTACTTGTACACGTGCACCTGTCGCTGGTCGCCCATGCCCTTGGAGTTGTGGGACAGGCCCATCTGATGCGCAATCGTGTGGCAGACACGGCGCTGCGAAGGGGTCAGAGTAGAGGGGAACACCAAGACATCACGGTTGGGGTCTTCCTTGAAAAGCAGCAGCTGCGAGTAGAACTGCAGCACCTGCGGGTCGTTCATGTCCACCTCTGCACACACACCGGAACAAGTTAGCCCTGACAAAGCAGCTCGACTGGGTCACGTTACCTGGCTGCCTACCGTTGACTGGAGACGGCGAGGTGGCTGGCGGCACGTGAGACGACATGGACGACAGCGACGGCTGGCTCTGCAGCTGCGAGGCCGGCATGGGTCTGTGCTGCTCTTCCAGTTGACCTCTGCGTTCCCTCTTTTCCCGTTCGATCCTTTCCCTTTCCGCCAGCGGGAGCATCTTCTTGTACTCGACGCGCAATTTCCTGCCTTGCAACTCAAAGTGGTTCATCGTCTCGATGACGACCGCCGTCTCCTCGGCCGTGGTGAAGTTGGCAAAAGCCAGGCCGCGGAAAACGCCATTGTCAAAGTGGTAGTTGAAGGCGTACGGCAGCGGCAGGCGGAGGTCGGTCATCAGCTGCACGAGCTGCTCCTTCTTGACGGCGAAGGGGATGTTCTTGATGACGATGGCCGTGGGGATCAACTCCTCGTCGACTTCCGACGGCCCGTACGGGTCCTGCCGCATCTGCGGCTGGCCGATTCCCTGTCCGAGACCCTGCGGCAAATTCTGGCCGCCTCCCAGAGACGCTCCGCCGAGGCCGGAGAAGGTGTTGATGGAGGGAAGCTGTTGCTGGGACTGGTCGAGCCAAGTCTGCGGTAGGGGGGAGGCTTGGTTAGCATAAGCGGCATGGGAGTCGTTTGTTATTGGGATGGATGGCGGGGAGAGAGGGTAGAGGGTACCTGTGGGAGAGCGCTGCGACCGCCGCGGGCCGAAGGCTTCATCCTGGTGGTCGCGTTGATGGCGGCCAAGCTGTTGTTCTGGCCGAAGGCGTTCGCGTTCCAGCCCTGGGCGCCGCCGAGCTCGTAGCCGCCGTAGCCGGCGTGGATGGTCGCGTTCAGGCGGTCATTGTAGCGGGGGGCGTCGTAGCGGGCCTGGGGGTCCTCTTGGGCGTACAGGCCCTGGTTGAGCTGGCCGTAGGCGTCGAACTGGCGCGAGGGCTGGCGGTGCAGCGTCTGCGGCTGATGGCGCTGCGAGCCCGGCGAGCGGGACGACGGGTTGTCGTAGTACATGTCGTGCGGGTGGTTGCTCATTCTTCAGGGGGGGTGTGCGGGTGGTCGAGCGGTGAAAAAACGAGCAGGGCGGTCGTGTCGTCGTGCCGGGAGTCGTCAGAGCAAACTCAAAGAGCCGCGTGGTGCATCCGAGGAAACGGCGCTTCGACGGCCGGGATTGTCGCTTGGCGGGCAGCGCGACTGCAGCGGCGAGACTTGGGGTGGCGACGTCGACGAGCGCAGAGAAGAGCGCGAGGAGCTTTGCTTGCGAGAGGGAGAGAGCGGCGAGCAAAGGTCTGGGCGGGCAGCGCTAGGGTAGCAGCTGAGGCCCGACAGGCACTGGCGCGGCGGCACGGCGCGGGCTAAGTCTGGTCGAAGGGGGCAAGAGGCGGCCGCGTGTCTCTGCGCGATGCAAGTGCCTGGCTGTCCACTGCCAGTGGCACGAAATTTCAGAGGTGGCTCGTCACGAAAGCAGGTTAGCGCGGGTGAGCGCCTGGCGGCGGCGGGCAGGCGTTCGGGAGCGCAGCGAGAGGGCCGGGAGCGCAAGGCAGACTGCTGAGGAAGAGGAGGAGAGGGGCGGCGAGCGCTGGCATCAATAAGAGTGAGAGAGCGTATAACCCCTTTTGCTCGCGCGCCCGGCAATAATAACCTGCCAAGGAGGGACCAACGCCAGAGCTTCGTTCGGCCCGCCCCTCAGAGAACGAGCTCGAGCCTCACAGCCCGCATCGTCATGGCAAACACGCCTGCGCTATGCACCTATGCACCCTTCTCTCCCCCGTCGCCCGGCAACAGCCACCCCCAGCCCGCCCGCCCTCGCGCCTGTCCAAGCCTCCAACCGACCGCCCTGCCGCCGCCCGCCAACACGTCCCCGAACTCCCCGAAGCCCAATCGAGAGCCGGCCCGCGCGCGCGCGCGCGCCCGCCCGCCGCTCGCAGCAGCACCATATCATGTCGCACAGCAGCATGCTGCAGATCAACCGCGTCCGCGCCCGCCCGCCCCCCCTCCATATCCCTCCCCCCCCCAGAGCTGTCCAATCCCTTCCCGCCTGCTGTGATCAGTCGCACCTACATACAGCGCCCCGCCAGGCAAACCACTGGCGCCAGCCCCTCTCCCCCCCCCAACCGCCCCGACGACCCGGCCTCCGCTGCATCTCCCCCGCCCGCGCGAGCGCACAGCAGCCGCAGCTTCGATCCTACTGGCCCTCCCCCCTCGACACCCCGGCCCACACCCGCAGCAACAGCTCGTCATGTGATGTTCAAACGGAGCGTGTTTCCTGGGG